CATGAAATGTTTTTCAAAAATGTATGAAAAACACACAGCTGCTCCGCAGAACGCGCGTACATGTTGCTATGGCAACTATACATTGAATATAGTTGTGTAAAGTAATAAATGTAATATAGTAAAATGAAGCTAACATCTTGATCTTTAATTTGTGTGAATTTCATATTGTTTCCATATCAAATAAAAATTTTAGAGCATAATTATCATTACTTCTGGGACACCCTGTAAATGATGTATAAAGATATGTAAAAATTTATAATACCTGACATAATAATTTGCACTTGGTAAAACCCAAAACTTTGATTGAAATAAGAAACTAAGTTTTGCAAAAATCCTTGCCATTTTTGAAGTTGTTACTATTTTGAATTTTTTTTTTGCATATAATAATCCACTAATCTAGCATTTGAGTTATTGCCTGAACGCTTGCAGACTAACCAAACCAAACTCTGTCTTTTGGAATAATAAAGCTTTGGAAATTAAAAAGGTTAATGCCTTTTAATAATCTCTGTCCCCCAAGAGCAGAGATGAATCTTTTAAAGATCAAAGCACATTACTGATACTCCAGTAAAAACACGAAAAATAAATGAAAAAATTGCAATACTTATTAAACCTAGTGCAACAAATGCATATTGATGAGTTTAAAGACATATCAAAAATCTAGAAAAATCTAAGTAGTGGAAGACATGTAAAAATCACTATTTGTACCCCCTGGTCTTATTTTATGAGGGGATACTGTGAGAAGCATTTATATCTTCTGTTGGGTGCCTCCAATCACATTCAAATTTTCAGAGATTATGCATCCATATATACTTAGTTGTCATGAAAAGATTGATCTTGATTGGTCAATTGGTTACCATGGCAACATAATTTAATTGCAAAATATTGTAAATATTAAGGATAAATCTACCGTTTCCCTTCAAACAGATCGTAGTTTGTCATTTTTAATTTTTCAAAATGAACACAAAGTTGAGCGTAATACATATTGAAGGAGTTTACAACAAGATAACATGATAAATAGGTTAATAGGATGACATATTTGGTTCATGTTTGATAACTACTGCTCAATTTTCCACAAAGTGGGCGTGGCACTTTTTGTTATTACAATTCCAAATAATTTCATGTTGACAGAATCATATTTTCAAGGGTCATTAATACATATATAATTATCTGGAATGGTGAGTCCAAATATCTTTTGTCAATTGGTTGCCATAGTAACACAACATATTGTATGTGAATCGTGGGTAGAGGTCATTTCAGGCAATCCTTGTTAATCTTAATTGTTTATTACATTCATCCTTAAGAACTGTTTTAGTGTATGATCTTTTTTAACAAATACAGGTTTGGATAATATTAATATGCGTTTGCTATGGTAACACAACTAATAATGCTGTTTCTTGAAATACTGCTCTGTTTGCTCGTCTGCCCGCCCATCTGTCTAAGCATTTTCTGACCTATTAATTAATCACAGATTGGTGTTATATGTGACAAAATGGTGATTCTTGACATCTTAGACTCAAGAGGATGTACCAACTTAGACCCTGTACGCTGTATCAGTCTTAGATTATGGATATTCTACCCATTGTAGACTTTGGAGGATGTAGCCATTAAACACAAGAGTCTACAACCTCTAAGACTCTAGAGGCTGTACCATCTTATATCTATTTATTAATCACATATTAATGTTACATGTGGCAAAATTGTGATTCTTGACATCTTAGACTCTAGAAGATTTATCAACTTAGACTATATAGGCTATATCGATCCTAGATTATGGATGCTGTACCCATTGTAGACTCTGGATGATGTACCCATTAAACACTAGAAGCTCTGGAGGCTATACCCATTGTAGACTCTTGGAGGCTGTACCCATTGTTAACTCTGCATCTGGAAGGTGTACCATCTTCTCTCGAAGGCTGTTCCCAGAACTCATCAAAGGTTCTGGAGGCTATACCATTTTTGACTCTGGAGGCTATACCCATTTAAGACTCTGGAGGCGATATCATCCTAGTCTCTAGGAGGCTGTATCCATTGTAGACTATGAGGGTCTACCATCCTAGGCTCTTGAAGGCTATACCATCTCAGACTCTTGTAGGTTGTACTATCTTAGACTCTTGGAGGCTGTACCTATATTTGACTCCTGACTTTCATAGAAATCATAGACTATCGAGGCTGTACTATCTTTGGCCCTAGAGGCTGAATCCAAATTAAACTCTGAAGCTATACCATATTGGTCTCTGGAGGTTGAATTCATATTATACTCTGGATGTTGTACCATATTATACTCTGTAGGCTGTATCAATTTTAGATTATAGAGGCTGGGTCATCTTAGACTCTTGGAATTGAAGGTTGTAGCCATCATAGAAGTAGATGTACCCATTAAACTCCTGAGGCCATATATTAGACTCTAATTGTTAATATTAGTCGTATTGTTAATATTAGTCTATACCATTTTCAACTTTGGTGGCTGAACCATTTTAGGCTCTGAAGGCTGTACCATCTTAGAATCTGGAAACTAGTCCTATGTTATATCGAGAGGCTGTACCATCTAAGGGTTGGAGGCTGTACATGTTAGACTCTTGGAGGCTGTACTTATCATAGGCTCTGAATGCTATAGCAATCAAATGATCTGAAGGATCTACCATCTTGGACTCTGGAGACTGAACCCATGTTATATCTGGAAGCTGTACCATCTTAGACTCGTGGAAACTGTGCCTGTCTTAGCCTCTGGATGCTATAGCAATCATAGCCTCTGAAGCTGTATCATCTTAGACTCTGGAGACTGATTCCATGTTATATCTGGAGGCTGTACCATCTTAGACTCATGGAGGCTGTACCATCTTAGACTCATGGAGGCTGTACCCATCCTAGGCTCTGAATGCTATAGCAATCATAGCCTCTGAAAGCTGTACCATCTTATACTCTGGAGACTGATCCCATGTTATATCTGGAGGCTGTACCATCTAAGGGTCTGGAGGCTATACCATCTTAGACTTATGGAGGCTGTACTGATTCTAGGCTCTGACTACTACAGCAATCTTAGATTCTGAATGTTATATCATCTTGGACTCTGGATGCTGAATACATATACTACTTGGGGCTGTATCATATTAGATTCTTGAGACTGCACTAATTTTATACTCTTGAGGCTGTACCATCTATATACTCTGGAGGCTGAACCAACTTAGGCTCTTCTGAACTATTCTATAGTCTCAGGTTCTACCATATTAGACTATTGGATGACATGTTCTTGGTATTGAAGGACACCATATACGCTGGGGGTTGAATCATATTCTATTATGAGATAAGTTTTTTCAGAACATATGCACTACACTATTTGCGTTTATTATGCTCTGTGTTACTATGGCAACCCCTTGACCAATCATGTACAGACTCACCATATTAAAGAATAACATCCGTATCCATGAGCCCTAAAAATATAACTGTGACTGATTTTGTAAAAATAACTGTTTTAGGACATTATCACTGAAAAGTGCCACGCCAACTTTTGAGTAGATAGAGAGGTAGTCACCTAATAGAATAGAGTTCAGGGTCAAAGATATCATATAATTTATCACATTTATCATGTTATCTTATTAAACCCTCCCCAAATATGTTTTTAGGGTAGTTTAATGTTCATTTTCAAATGATTTGAAGAGTAATGGCAACATCTGTTATTATAAGAAGCTTCAGACTTACCTGAAATATTTAAGATTTTGAGTAATCAAATTGTGTTGCTATGGTAACCAATTGACCAATTAATTTTAAAATTGTCGTGACAACTCACTATATATAGGCGCATGATACCTGACGATTTTATAGTGATTAGAGTTATGTAACAGAAATCATTAATGATTATCATATTACCCCCTCATAAAATTATCCCAAGGGGTATAAATGGTGATTTTAAGGTTTTCCACTACTTAGATTTTTCTAGATTTTTGATATGTTGTTTTACTTACCAATGGCTATTGATTACACTAGGTTTACTCTGTGTTGCAATTTTTTCATTTATTTGTGAAAATTTACAACGATTTTACTGGAGTATGATGTATTTCATGAAAGTGGAGAAATGTAATTTATTTTCCATATAGGAATTCTTAAGGGATGTTAAAAAGCTTTTATTTATTTTTATTACTTTCATGGGGAAAAGAACACCAGTATTTTGACGTGAATAAATTGATGTCATTGCCCATCATGGCACTGATATGAAGGTTGAAGAATGGAGATACTTAAAATAAGACAAAGACCTCAATAATCAATTAACACATTTAAGATGTCGGTGAAAAGCATTTAGAACTCAAATAATATGTGTTACAGGATTAAAGATTCGTATAGTAAACTGTATTGTGTTATCTATGTTATATTATGAGGTTATATAATGGTTCTTTCTGTATATCGTGTTTATACTCATGTGAGTATATGATATATTCACAAGTGAGCGTAGCAAACGAGTGAATATATTATATTCTCACAAGAGTATAAAATGCACGATATACAGAATGAACCATTATATAATCTTATTATGCGACTTTAAGTTCAATTACAGTTGATTCGAACACAATCATAACATTAAAAACCATAAAAATATCCCATAGCCAACTCAATAATGCTGATGTTGATCTCGAACCATTTATGACGTTGCTTGATTCTAGCAAATCATGCCGGAACCATTTATGACGTCACTTGATTCTAGGAAATCATGAAATGTTCATGATTTTTTTTTATTCATTAGTTCCCAGAATGCACTTCTACAGTGGTATACGCTGGAGTGTATACGGAGGAGTTGTATACGATGACGATATACCACTCTCCACTGTATATCGCTGTTATAGACCCATGTTATACAACTGTAATTGGACTTAGAGTGGTATAAGAATAAATATACTGTATATATATTAAATATAATAGATTAGATATGTAAAATATACTTTGATTACCCTTTTCTAGTTAAATAGTGAGACCCATTTTTTGCTATATTAATTCAGTTCTATTTTCAACAGGATGGGCTAGCAGAAGTAAAATTGGACGAAGATAAACTTCCAGTTATAGGTATGTACATCCTTAATTTACTGCTATGTTACTGGCATCACATCAGAGGTTTTGGTCCTTAGAATTGAGTAGTGGTCCTTAGGACCAGTAAAATTCATGTGAGGATGCATCAATTTGTGGCACAAATAATTTCTTGATTTTTTTTTTTTTTTCATGGAACCAGTAACAAATTGAAATGAAGTGGTCCTACTTGGCGACTCATTTTCCCCAGGACTCTTTGCATGTCGGTTTGCATGATTTACATTTCATTGAATTTCCTTCTTGAGTAAATAAGCTAGGGATTACCTCGCTTTCAATAACCTGACCAAGAAGAATTAAGATGGATGTCAATGGATTTTGATAGAAAAATCACATACAACGTTTTTAGAATATCACTTTCGGTAAGCTTAATAACCTGACAAGACTGGTTTCTTTCTTCTTTTTTGGAACTAATACTGACACGACTAAGACTCATCACTTGGAATTCCTGTGAACATAAAATATTTGCGTAAAAATCCAGTGGGATCAAGAACTTAATTTTCCTGAATATGTGGAAGTAAAAAAGATTAGATACCAAGAAGAATTAAGGTAGATGTCAATAGATTTTGATAGAAAAATCACATTCAACATTTTGAAAATATCACTTTCGGTAAGCTACTTCCGGTTTCTTGAAATTGTAAACTGGGATTTGATTGGTTCACAGCAGGTGATGCAATATAGTCAGCTAATCAAATTGGACCTTTCAATTCTTGTTGGGCGATAATTAGAAGAATGAAAAAGAAAATTTTAGTCAGAAAATCACTGGTGATCCACTCGATTACTCTGGTTACCGAAACGGTTCGTTTTGGTAACAAAATGTCGGAACTTCGAAGGTACGATTTTTCTCTTTTCCTTATTTCACACGTTGTAGGCAGAATTCCCACGTCATTTTTTAACACTAACATGTATCAGTATCATATGTTTAAGAAAATGTACATATGTGCGAACAAATAGCTCAGAAGACAACAGAATCGTCGATTTAATTGTTCACTTAAGTTACAAAAACGTTTTTTCGAAAAACAGTTAAGATCTGCACTTTTAACCAAAACCGTTTATCTGCAGGTTGAGTGCTTTCCAAAACCTCTGCATCACATCAGTACTAGTGCTTCTGTCATTGGTTGGAATGACTTCAATACTTGTGCTTCTGTCATTGGTTGGTTTGACTTCAATACTTGTGCTTCTGTCATTGGTTGGTTTGACTTCAGTACTAGTGCTTCTGTCATTGGTTGGAATGACTTCAATACTTGTGCTTCTGTCATTGGTTGGTTTGACTTCAATACTTGTGCTTCTGTCATTGGTTGGTTTGACTTCAATACTTGTGCTTCTGTCATTGGTTGGAATGACTTCAATACTTGTGCTTCTGTCATTGGTTGGTTTGACTTCAATACTTGTGCTTCTGTCATTGGTTGGCTTGACTTCAATACTTGTGCTTCTGTCATTGGTTGGCTTGACTTCAGTACTTGTGCTTCTGTCATTGGTTGGCTTGACTTCAATACTTGTGCTTCTGTCATTGGTTGGCTTGACTTCAATACTTGCGCTTCTGTCATTGGTTGGCTTGACTTCAATACTTGTGCTCATTTCATTTTGTTGACCAGTTGCAATATTATTTTCCTATACCTTGTGAAAAATAAACTGGTCAGTATTAAAAGTAACCTGGTAATGACCAGCTGACCGGCCCTTAGGGCCTACCCTGATTATTACTAACCCTACTGAAAACAGTGACACGTGACACTACTACAAAAACAATAACTACACAGCTCATTAACCACAACACAAAACAACACAAACAATGGCATACCCAATCAGTCTCCAATGTGTTGTCATAGTTATAAGCAAGCCTATTTTTCTTCCAACAGTAATCCCCATCAGTATGTCTCTGCTCATAAATTATGTTATGAAGTGCCTGTCAGGTTTGAAACATGTCCAGAATTACCGTGGCAGTAAAAACATAAATCCAGGACATCCGTGTTTCAAAACAAAATTACATAATTAAAGGTTTAGCCTTTTACACTGGGAGGAACCTCCTCTGGGAAGAAACAGTGCACGATGCGGTTTTTTTTTATTATTATTATTAAATAGTTCATATGGTGAGCTATTGCAATGACTCACTTGTCTTTCCGTCGTCTGTCTAATCCATCCATTCATCATTCTAAAATACCACTGTCGATAGGATTCCAGTTTTAACAAATTTTTGGTTTATTATCAATAAAGGAAAAACACCCATGGCTCCTGTTTCAAAAGCTCACCTATTTTCAAAATGGCCACCATTAATGAGGTACACCATGGAAACCCAGTACCCACGGTAATATTTATTTATTAATATTCTTGAATTGATTTATTTAGTTTTATTCAGGATTCTGTTGAAAATTCTTTGATTTGTACATGTATGTTTCTCTAATATTGTGTAATACTAATATTGTTACAATCCATCTTCCAGAGTTGTCTGGAAAATAACCACAAGAATGTTTTATTTCAACGTTTTAAGGCCACAACAAATCTTGGCAAACCTGGTTTTATTTTTGAAATGTTACTTTATAATTTTTTTGCAAAGAGCACACAACTGCATTTAATTTTAAATGGTATTCTTTTTGTACAATATTTATATAATATTAAGATTTTTAGAGAAAACTTTTGGAGCAACCCTCGTATTAGTAGTTGTTTTGAAAATAAAAACCTCAAAATGATATGGTTAAGTCTGTTCTTCTTAAAGGACAGACCTTAATGAATACTGAACAAATTATAGTTCCTAATAAATTGAAACCAGGTTATTGACAGAAAATTGACTTGCACATCCTATTTGTAATACCAATATAGAGACAGTTTTATTCTCTAGAGCAATCATTTCACTCTACATTAGAACATGATAAGTGCACAGCCACTCCAACAGCCAGTAATTCAAATCTGTTTAAAATAATAAAATATAAATCAAAAAGTGAGTGCAAAATGATTGATGCGAACCATTTATTTATTTGTCAGTGACAGTAAGGCCATCATAGATAAACTTCCGTTTCACAGTTTTTGAAAAAACAGAAATAATTTAATTTATTTATATGAATTGTCACAACAAGTCACAACCTAAAACTTACTTATTGTTAATTCAGGTCACTTGGTGTTCTTTCCTCAGAATTCCTGACTTTCTAACATTGGTACCAACTTTGGCCACAAGGGTGATTTTAATCACAATATCTTAGAATCAGGTCCAAAATATATAACAGTATGAAAATGCCACGCTTGGTCCTAATGTCAGAAAATCAGAAATTCTGATCTGAGGAATATAATCTTTCCTAAAACATTGATAAGTGAAGTGATTTAGGTTGTGACAAGCACTAATAATCATATAAGTGTCTCCTGCCAACCTGCAGTAACATGTTCATACCGGTACATTTTTTTCGTTTATGTTCTTGAAAAAATCTAATTAACCCCTTGTTTGCATATTACTGATATATTGACCTTGTCTCTAATGGTATAAAATACTCACTTAACAATCAGCTTTATATTTTCTGGTGCATTATCTGTCTCTACCATTGGCTTTCAATTAGAGTATAGTTGAAAGCCCAAGGTCTATACCTATTGTTACATAAATGCAATTATTTATCAATCAACCTCAATCTGCAATACCCCATTCTCTGTGCCTTTGTTACGAGATTTACCTCATTTATGAGTGTGTGACTAATCCATCCGAGAAAAAATAAATACATTCTCAAGTTGAATACAAAACCCACTTCAACACGAATTGCAATTCATTTAATAATTGGAAAATGATTAGTTAATATGATTCTATATGATTGTCATGTTACAACTGAAGCATTTACTCTTCAGTACAATGTCTGTAGGTACAACTCATTTAGATACAATGCCTGTAGGTACAATGCATGTAGGTACAATGTCTGTAGGTACAATGCATGTAGGTACAATGTCTGTAGGTACAATGCCTGTAGGTACAATGCATGTAGGTACAATGTCTGTAGGTACAATGTCTGTAGGTACAATGCATGTAGGTGCAATGTCTGTAGATGCAATGCATGTAGGTACAATGTCTGTAGGCACAATGCATGTTGGTACAATGCATGTAGGTACAATGTCTGTAGGTACAATGCATGTAGGTGCAATGTCTGTAGACGCAATGCATGTAGGTACAATGTCTGTAGGCACAATGCATGTTGGTACAATGTCTGTAGGTACAATGCATGTAGGTACAATGGATTCCTTCACCTGTGAAGAGTAAAGACAGACATTTAAGTTATTTAGAGCAAAATGCCTTTTTCTCATATCTCACCTTATGAATAAAAAATATGATGACCCCCCCCCACACACACACACGCACCACTACTACAACCCACAGATTGATTTTGTTTAACTAAAAACGACAAGTGGGTGATAATAATAGCTCAATGGGTGAGCTAAAGAAGCTGTTGATTGAGAGAGTGGGGTAAATGTGAAAAAGTGAACGTTGATTTTGCATCAAGGTTGTCAAATCATTGGTTTCAAATGAATTAATATTGACAGTTATTCTGAAATGTTATCACTACAGCAGATATACAACTACACATCTAAACAGTTTAATGAGCTCTGCAACTTTTCTGTTAAATAAGATGTGATCTACTGATTCACATGACCACCATAGAAGTAAAACTACACCTTTCTCCTTTGTTTAAAAAGTCATAGTGATCACTTAGTGGAGAGTTTAAGCTAGCAATGTTTTTCACAACGTAACTGCGAACGCAAAGTCCATGAATCACTACAGTAAAGTGTATAGCGTGCTTACAAAACAAGCGCTAATTAATCTTCTCCAGATACCCGTTCAGCTTCAGAGCTGTGTTTAGAACGGGAAATATGCAATTTCACTTTGGTGGCAACGGGAATTATTATACTTGTGTTTTTTGAATAATGCAAAGAATAATGGTTTCTGAAGAGAACGATGTATGTCATTCATGTTTTAGCTCCAAATATCATACAAAACGATTCAAAATCCTCCACAACAATTGCAATGATTTCACCATGGAAACATCATATTTTCAGCTCTATTTTGGTCATAACTCTACAAGGATTCTATCAATTTGCTTGAAATTGTACAGGTACCTTAATTTATAGGTTATCAATGATGTCTGCAAGTTTTAGCAAAATATGTTGCAAAGATTCAAGTGTACGAGAGGTACACAGTAATGTCTAGAATGCACTTTCACCATGTGAGCCAAGTACCCATGGTTCTATTTTTTCATCATCAGATATAAATAATAACTGGCCTGATTTTTGACATTCATATACCCATTCCTTGTGTTTTCTACATATCCTTGAATTTGATTTAGATCTTTCATATCTTGCAAATTTTGCCTTAGCCACCATGGTATTATAACCTCATATAGGGTTTACATTAGTGATCATCTATTCTTCCTACGCTATTCCATTAATCGCTTGTCAAGTTCAATGTATTTTATGTTAGTCTGTCTCACAACTCCTACACTTGTCATAATAAAAAGTCATTTAGATCTTCCAATTCATTTAAAAATGGTAAGCCTTTCAAACATACCTGATATTAGTCAGACTATAAATATTGAATTGCATTTTTAATCACATCACAGTATTGGAAAGTGGCTTATTTTATGCCATTCCCTTCTAATGTGATGTAGTCCATTTCCTGAAATGTCCTTACAATTACAGTACATGTGAATGCTCTACCCTGCTTATTCCACATAAATAATAGTCTTGAATCAACCCCTAGTAACCCCCTTCCTTAACAATTACCTCCAGAAGGTCCTGTATACTTTTTAGGGATACAGTTTCTGTGAAGTACAAGACTTTGGAGATGAAGTAGATTGAGGGAGGGGGGTCAGAGACTGATGCAAGACTAATTTCACTATTTCTCCTTTCTCTTTCATGTTATAAAAATGACCTTTATGTTGCAGTGCCACTACGTGAGGGTGGAGAGAAAGGGTCTAAAAAAGGAAGCAAGAAGAATAGTCAAGTCTTGATGTCAATCACAATGGATGAGTGGAAGGTAAGGAGTTGACCCAAAATGTGGAAGGTGTTGGCTCAATATGTGGAAAGTGTTGGCTCAAAATGTGGAAGGTGTTCTCTCAATATGTGGAAGGCGTTGGCTCAAAATATGGCTATGTGGTTCAAACATTCTTGTGTTTTTATCTGACATTGAAATTACTTTCATCACCCATTAAAAATAAATGATATTATCACGCCATTGAGTGATAAATTGGGATTTGAAAATCTTTTTTACTGGTTTTCAGCCACACTGTTTCATGAATTGACCTGAGCTGAAATTGTCATTGATGAATTTTGGTATGAAACTTTACAACTGAGTAGTGTGTGGGCACTCTGGGTTTATGTTAAGGTAGCCATTTTTGATTTTTCCATCCTAAAGTTTTGTCTGTCTACAGTCTTGTCTATATGTTTCAAGTTAAACCAATTGATGGATTGATCTGAGATTTAAAGAGATGTTTTTGGTTTGAAAGTTTAGAACTAATTAGGGAGCCAAACTATTTCATGGATCTATCTGAAATTTTCATGGATGTTTTTTGGTTATACAAGTACAATTGACTAGTCTTGAGTATTCTAGCGCAGTCAGATGTCCCTTTGGTAGTTCGACTTTTTCAGGAAAGCAACAAACTTGGCCCAGTTGTAGAAACATATGATCTGAATGAAAAATGATTTCGGGGCAAGTGATTCGGGCAGGTCTTCATGGATTGTAAGCCTCTGACCCCCACCCCTATCAGGCGGGGAGGGGGTACATTATAATAAAGTAAATAAAAATAGTTGTAAAGTATATTTCTTTAAATGACTTCATTTGGTGATTGCTTTGAGCCTTGAAATTGAGAAAAAACTATTTTAGAAGTGGTGTTTAGGAAGGAAAATACATTTTAACCCAATTATCTAACGTGAATTCATCTTCAAAGGGTCAAATATGGGACATCAAGTACTGTATTTCAAGAATGTGATGTCTGATCATCCTGAAAAAATTCATACTAATAGAGATATAGGTGTTAATCACTCATATGATACATGGCTTGTGTAGCTCATGTAATTTTTGAGAAATAAATTATCGAAATATGGATATTTAAGCCCTTGCGGCCTAGGGGTGACCTTATTTTACCTTAATAATTTTTAAGATACGCAATGTTTGGGCCTCATATGAATTCTAAATGTTGCATTAAGTATTGTTTTGTCATATTATTCCTAATTAAATGTAAAAAAATTATTGGAAATTAAAAAAAAATCAAATTTTCATTTTCGGTTCTAAAGGGCCAGGGGTAACCATATTTTACCCTAATAATTTCCCAGATATGTAATAAATGCATCTCAAATTAGCTCAAGATGTTGCATATAGTTCTGTTTTATCATACTTCTTCCAATAAGATGTAGAAAATGATCGGATATATCTAAAAAATCAAAATTTTCACTTAAGCTCTTGATGGCCCTGGGGTAACCTTATTTTACCTTAATAATTTTCTAAATATGAGACATAGTCACCTCATATGAGCTTAAGATGGAATATTTAGCCCTGTTTTATCGTACCATTCCCAAGGAGTGAAAAAATGATTGGAAATTATAAGAAAATGACATTTTCATATTACACCCCCAATCCGCAACATCTTCTTGCAGCGCTGTAAACAGTACTGAACAGTGCAGTCAGAGTACTGCACTATATAGCAATGTACAATGCTATTCTAACACCATCTGTTTTGGACAGCATAGTACAGTACTGTTTTTACAGCTCAGTACTGTTTTAGAAAACAGCTGTGTTCAGTACTGTTTTTACAGCACTGTTTATGAAACCATGCTGTTTAATGCAGTTTGAGATTGGTAAGATATATCATATTATCTACTCAGATGAGCTCAAAATAGTGAATATAGTCTAGTTTTGTCATATTATTGCTACTGAGATATACAATAATGATTAACAATTATAAAAATGAACCTCAACAGCCATTTATTCCTTTTTAGTACCAATGGCAATACTATCTAGTTTTATAGAACATTTTCTAAGATATGAAAATGTTTGATAAGTCTGAAAAATGGTAAGGGCTAAACTTCGTTCATGGCCAAGTGGCCTTGAAATATCTAAGGCAGGTCGTACATACTGGAGGAATTCCCCTCACCATAGGCCATATGCAATCCAAATTGACATTTTCAGCACAAGTTACTGCCAGTTTAAACCACATCAAAATCAACTGTATTGACTATGATTCTTATTAGGTCATGACAGAAGCAGTCTTTGGCATGCTTCTTCATATGAGCGAATGGTGATGGCAGATACTTCACTATCGGGCTAAGATATTGCATTACCTCATTGTGAGGTCACTATCTTCTTGCCATCTTCTTCCAGGGTTTCAGTTTTGATGCCTGGAAGGAAAACAGCTCCCTCTTGTTCTAACTATCTTAGGAAATCTTGCCAATTCCACAGAAGAAAATTAGTGGGATATACTTTCCTCACTGTTCCAGTTTTGTGCTGTTTGTATCTATGCTCATTAACATCAAAGTTGAATGACTAAGCTACATAGTAGATGCCAAAATAATAGACAGGGCATGTATAGTTAAACATGCTAACAGTGACATATAAAGAAAATTTGGTGATTATGCAAATACGATATTACCCATGTAAAAGTCTGCAAATAGTTCATCGCCTTGATGTCAGCTGGGATGTTTACAAGGACACTAGCTTAAAGGGGCAACAAGGTCTGTAGAAGATTCAATTTTTTTACTTTTTCTGAGCTATCAGGGCAATATTTGGCTTTGACATACCTATTTTCTTAAAATGTATGGATAAACTATCAATTTCAGCATTAAGAAGTGTAAATTCAGTTCAAAGCTTCTATAAAGGGAGTCCCACTTATAGGTTTTTAAGATCCAAAACATTTCAAGAGGAATCAGCTGAAATAATGTTCATCCAGGGGGTTTCTTTGGAAAAAATAAAGATATATGTTAGTCTTGATGAAATATCAAAACTTGAATATATTTTGACACTGGTCCATGATCGTTGAATGGCCCCTTTGCACTAATTGTTGCACCTTTAAAACAGCACTAGAGAGACTTGTGGAACTGGAACAAGGATAGTCTAAGGAGGAAACTGAAACCCTTGAAATGGATGGAAAGAAGATAGTGACCACATTAATTAAGGAGGCAATGCAATGTTTAAGCCCAACAGTGAGGTTCTGCCATCACCCTTGTTCTTATAAGAAGAAGCAGATTCAAGGATATTTCTCAATATTTTCAGTTAGACTGCTTCAATCATGGCCTTCAAGAGAAAGAATAATACTCCTTACATTTAATTCTGATGTGGTTATCCTGGCATATATGTGATGTTAAAAATTGAAAAAGTCAATTTGACATAATCCTTGACAGAAGCAGCTCACCTTAACCCCCCCCCCCCATCAGGCTAAGGAGACTGGACTTAATACCCTTTGCATTCATTCGACTTTCCTTCTCAAAAGAGAGCTTCGTCTTCACTCTATCAGTTTTCAATGAATCTTTGAACTCACTGCGCTAATCAGAGTTTGTTGTCGAAATAAGGACGGCTTTCTATATGGTCATTTTCTCTGACGAAATCGCATCATTAATGTGCATGCATTTACCACTTGTTCCTTCAAGCTCGCTGATTGGTTGAGAATAGGTCAGCATGGTTTATTGCAGCTTGGGTCATAAATGCTTTAAGACCCAAGCTGCCAATGGCATCGGTCATGGGGACGGGGCTGCTAAACTCACTCCATCCTTTGCTATGACACAATTCTAAGCTCATTTGAGATGCATCAACTCATAATTAAGTAAAGTTTAAGGTTAAATAAGCCCCCCCCCCCGGCCATCATAAGCTAAAATGAAAATTTCAAATTTTAAGAAATGTCCAATCATTTTCTACATCTTATTGGAGGTATTATGATTAAACAGAACTATATGCACCATCTTGAGCTAATTTGGGATACATATATCACAAACCTAGAAAGTTATTAAGGTAAAATATGGTTACCCACGGCCCTTCAGAAGCGATAATGAAATTTTTTTTTTTTTGAAAAGTTCCAATCATTTTTCAATCCAATTAGGAATAATATGACAAAACAAGACTCAATGCACCATTTTGGGCTCATATGAGACCCATACATTGCATATCTTAAAAATTATTAAGGTAGAATAAGGTTACCCCTAGGCCGCAAGGGCTTAAAAATTCAAATTTTGATAATTTTTATCTCAAAAAATACATGAGCTACCCAAGCCATATTCTATATTTGTGATGAACACTTATACCCCTATTAGTATGAATTTTTCCAAGATGATCAGACATCACATTCTTGAAATACAGTACTTGATGTCCCATATTTGACCCTTTAAAAGATGAATTCACGCTAGATAATTGGGTCAAAATGCATTTTCCACATTAAACACCACATATACAATCGGTTTGTCTCAATTTCAAGGCTCAGAGCAATCACCAAATGAAGTCATTCAAAAAAATTTACTTCACAACCATTTTTATTAATTTTTTATAATGTACCCCCTTCCCGCCTGATAGGGGTTGGGGTCAGAGACTAAAAATCCATGAAGACCACTCCGGATCACTTGCCCCGAAATCATTTTCCACTCAGATCAAGTGCTTCTACAACTGTGCCAAGTTTGTTGCTTTCCTGAAAAAGTCGAACTATAAAGGGCTCATTTCTGGACATCTGACTGCGCTATTCTGGGTAAAATAGGTAGCCATTTTGAACTTTCTGTCCCGAGAATTTATCTTTAAACTGAGTTTGATGGATTGAATTAAAATTTTTAGGGATGTATGAAAGTTTATAACTGATAAGCGACCATGCATTCTGGGTAAATGTTAAGGCAATCATTTTACATTTTACAACATAAAATCCTTTAAAATAGATCAATATGAAATTTTCTGTGATGTTCCTTTGTATAAAGATCCACAACTGATGAGTCTTGGGTATTCTGGGTAAATTTTAGAATTTTCTTGAGATGTTTCTTGGTATGGTACTTTACAAGTGAATAATGGGCATTTTGAATTAAGGCTGTCATTAAATCTTGTTTGTGAAGTCTTGTCTACATATTTTCAGCCAAACCATTTTAGAGATCAATCTGACCTGCACTCTTAGTTGTAATTAAGACTGATTGGAATTCTAATTTGTTGATTTATATTTATTTGATTCAAAGCTATGTGACAGCCTCTAAGTTCTCTAAAAGTTCAATGATTTGCTTAAAATGAATATGAAAGAATTGAGACAATTTATGGGTCTTGATCTTATAAGGATATTTTGTTGCATGAAGTCATGTAATTTTCTCATTTCAGAAAATCATTAAAGTGTTTGATATTAGTGAGCCTTTGATTGAGCCCTATGTCCCAAAGAAAAAATGAAAATGAAAAGGAAACATACAAGATGATCTATAAAACAAGTGAAACAGAACTTGACACTGGCATTCTACATAGCATTGCACATATCATGTACTGTACATAGCATTGCACATATCATGTACTGTACATAGCATTGCACATAGCATTGTACATTATAGCATTGCACATAGCATTGTACATTATAGCATTGCACATAGCATTGTACATAATGAACAGAACAGTGTACATTGCAGAACAGAACCTGTATATACTCAAACCTTGGATGTACAAAACTGGCATTTAACATGCACAGGTTTTAACATTGGTTATGCAAAACTGTGCCTGAAACAAAGAAATCCTGTAAAAGATGCAATGGCTGGAGATAAACTTTATGCAAAAAAAATATGTTAGTATTTTATACCAAATTCTATGAAGAAAAAACAACATTACTAGAGCTGTATTTAAGCAATTTTGGGTTGCTGACTTTGTGAGTACTGTAGATACACTTATTTTGACGGTACTTAATTTGGCTGATTTGCTCAAGTTCAAATATTGGCGGCTTTTTAATTTGGCGGAGTCAGGACTGAGCTCAACTTTTATCATTGATCTGGAAATGAGCATTTCAGATTCATGTGTTCTACTTAATTGCTGTAAGTCTTGGTATAGCACTGACATCCAAATAGGAACACTTACACAAGTGAAATAATTGCAAATTACAAATTCCCTGAGGATTTTCCAAAATAGATCTGAAAATTGGTAGATTTTTAATTTGGTGGAATCGCCAATCAATCAATCCGCCAATCCGTCAAATTAAAACGGTAGCCAAAAGTATATCTACAGTATGAGTTGATATTTTCTCAAACACAACATTATTTTGTCATTTATTTTCCTTCATTGTATATGACAATAAATAAATTTAATAAACTTACATCTCTTGCATGCCTTGGCATTGTTGGATTAAATTTACTTAAACACGCCTCTCTTTAAATTTATATGTTGTAATTAGGTTTGTTTTTTCATTGAACCTGTAATTTATGACCAGCCTTTTTCTGGCAGCCATGATGGGTTTTGCTATGCTTTGGCATTGCTGTTATCAAGTTATTATTTTAAAGCTGTATGATCAAAAACTCAGATGTGTCTATCACTGCTCCTTTCAAGGTAGATATCTTAATTTAACCTATTTTGGTCAATGTATTTAAATATTTCTCAAACACAACAAGCAGATATGGCTGGATATAAAAAATGTAAATAAGCATACCTCTGTACGTAAAAGCCCTTTTATGTGATACAAAGGGTATGAGTTCACTATGCACAGGTTCCACTGTAGATAATTGAAGTCAATATATAGTTAATGTTGGGGGTTGGGTCAAAACAATGATGTCAGTCAAGAATAAACCATACTTTGACACCATCCCAAAATGATACCACAATTGTTGAAGAATGTATGCAAACAAAATCCTAGGAATACCCAACCACCGGATAATGCCACAAAAAGAAAACATAATTTATTTTCTGACAGACGTCAATGTTTCGTCATGACCCCTTATCATAGACAAGTTGAACAAGAAGTAATTGATTATATAAAGCTCATTATAAGAGAGATTTGGTTAATATGCGCTATAAATCAAGATAAAGGCGATAACCCTGAAACAGGTCAAATTGAAAGTTTTCTTAATAGAATTATTAACCAAAAGATACCATGCATATGTCACTCTCTTCATGTGAGCATTTGCTCTCTAGAAAAACGAGGGATGACCCAATCTCTACATTTTTGGATCACTTAGAAATATGTTTTGCTTTATTCCTTGTTTTACACCGTCTCAATTGAATTTATGAATGAGTTACAGGAAATTCATAAAAACAAGTTTCTCTTCAACAAGTTTCTCTTCAAATACTTCAAATAAATTTAAAAAATGACTGCAATGCTACAAATTTGTATTTAAATTTAAAACTTGAACCTTAATCACCATGAAACCTATATCATTGTAATCTAATTTTAAACGAGAAATATTGTAGAATGACATGAATGAGAAGAAATTATTTGAGTTTATTCCTATTTTGAGAGAATTTAATAGAAGTTGTTATTTAGCAGTTATTGTATCCCAAGGGTAATCATTCTTTAACTATCATTATTGCACAAGATCCAATAAATTAATTTCACATAAATAAGCAAATCATTTCTCCATTATAGTTAGATATTCCTTAAACAGTTATTAACGCTTGATGTCAACATGTCGTTACTCCACTTTGCAAGTTCTGATAAGTGAAGTTCGAGAAAAATGGCTCTCCTGACATTATAAACAATATGTGACCTTCTTTGCTTATGAATTCTTTGATTTACGAAGTCTAGCCCCTGAATAAGATTTTACAATATTGATGTTTTCTTATCTTATCCTCTACAGTGATATGCTGTCCTCTAAAGTGATATGTTATCCTCTACAATGATATGTTATCCTCTACAATGCAATGTTATCCTCTACAATGATATCTTATCTCATACAGTGAAATCATCTGCATAATCTCTCTCTGAAATCAGAGATAATATTACAGGAATGAATAATATCAACCTTGGACCAAAATAGGTAATCAAGGCAATGGTTCATTAATTCGTATTATACATTGTTCAGCCTATAAAGATCAGAGCAGAATGACTTGTCTTTCTTTCATCAGGTATTCATGGAACATTTTATGAAATCTTAGCATATCTAAAAATTACCTTGCAAATAATTAATGTGTGAATGATTTAATGAAAAACCTTGAAAATTCTTCCATTTGGTGGATGATCTGAAGAGAGGCCTTACAAGATCTTTCTTCCAATTTGTGAATGATTTGAAGAGAAGCCTAATGAACTCTTCAATTCTGTTAAAAATTTACGTAAAAATCACGTGATTCAGTTTTCAAGTGTAACACCATCCCATAAATTTTGAGAAATCATTGAGACTGCAACAGGACATGTTTTTGCATAATCTTGCCAGTGTCATTTCAACCTATCCGTAAAGGATCTAATCTAATTTGTAGAGTTATCTCATTCACTGGATTACCCTGCCTACCTTACTCATTTTATCCCACCTACCTTACTCATTCTACCCCATCTACCTTACTCATTCTACCCCATCTACCTTACTCATTCTACCCTACCTACCTTACTCATTTTACCCTACCTACCTTACTCATTCTACCCTGCCTACCTTACTCATTCTACCCTGCCTACCTTACTCATTCTATCCCACCTACCTTACTCATTCTACCCCATCTACCTTACTCATTCTACCCTACCTACCTTACTCATTTTACCCTACCTACCTTACTCATTATACCCTGCCTACCTTACTCATTCTACCCTGCCTACCTTACTCATTCTATCCCACCTACCTTATTCTACCCTACCTACCTTACTCATTTTACCCTGCCTACCTTACTCATTCTACCCTGCCTACCTTACCCATTCTACCCTGCCTACCTTACTCATTCTACCCTGCCTACTTTACTCATTCTATCCCACCTACCTTATTCTACCCTACCTACCTTACTCATTCTACCCTGCTTACCTTACTCATTCTACTCCGCCTACCTTACTCATTCTACCCTGCCTACCTTACCCATTCTACCCTGCCTACCTTACTCATTCATCATAGTCTTCAACTTTTTTGTGGACAGTGTTTGGCGGTCGGTGTCTGTAACAAATGGCAGGTAGTGACATTTTGCATATGATGCCTTGTTATCATTATTAATTGTAACATAAAGAACCTGGGGTGCATTGTGAAATATATATATTCATAAGTCTATTGTTCTTTAACTTTGAGGTCAGGATTATTTATTTCATACTTAGAAATACACCCCTGGTAAATTAATGACTTGGTCCAAACATGTGCCGCTCTGTAACAGTTAGCTTGTACCTTATTCCTGGAGTTTATGATACCCTTAGAAATAAGTATCACATTTCAACTTTTCATATTTTGTAAATTAAAACCTATGCTATAAAGCCACTATTTATTTGTAGCTTTCATTTTATTTTAGTACATTAAATTAAATATACAGTAAAACCTGTGTACAGAGCCTCAACATTGTGTTCACTGTAAGTAGGTGTTCCCTACAGAGAGGCAATTTTATACAGAAGTCAGTGGAGTACATGCTGAGAATGGATGTTCATGAGACACAGGTGCTTGCTAGAGAGAGGTGTTCTCTAAGACATACATTTGTACTATATTTAAGAGGAACATCTGTTGTAAGCTTAGTCAGCTACTTTTAAGGTTTTATATTTTTCTATCAAAATGTGGCTAATTATATTAATGATGTATTATTTGAGCATAACTTTAGGTATGAAAAAGGTCACACAAATAAATAGTCTACTTTAAAATGTTCTGTCATCTTGTTGTATTTTTGAACCACATTGACCAAACAATGTGAAACATGGTAGATAAATAGACATGCTCCATACAGTGCATCGAATGCTCCATACAATGCATGGAATGCTCCATACATTGCATTGAATGCTCCATACAGTGCATTGAATGCTCCATACAATGCATTGAATGCTCCATACAATGCATTGAATGCTCCATGCAGTGTATTAAATGCTCCATACAGTGCATTGAATGCTCCATACAATGCATTGAATGCTCCATATAGTGCCTTGAATACTCCATACAATGCATTGAACTCTTGTGTCATTTTCAAAACCTAGCATGCAATCTTTATGTCACCGTCACAAGTGATGACATATTAGGTGATAGGTATTTAGCATTTGCCAGTTGGTGTTCAGTGTCTGTAACAAATGGCAGGTGGTCACATTTGGCATGTTCATGCATTGTCTGAAATTTTCACATGAAGAGATATATTTTTTGTTGTTTTTTCTGAGACCAGAATTGAGCTGGAAATTCTTATATAATGTGTATGACATATTGTTATTGTTGCCACCTCTTTTGGGGATGGTGTTTGGTGGTTGGTGTTCGGTATCATAACAAATGGTAGGTGGTGACATTTTGCATGTCAATGTCTTTTATAGAAATGTAAAAACACATTCAACTCTAAAATAAAGTTTATACCTTAGTCTAGTACATGCACATAAGTTCCTTATTATGTAATGCTATTTTTTTCAATTCTTTGCCAGATTACATAATATTCAAAACTAATTAATATTGTGAGCAAAAATGAGAAATATTAATTTTTGTCGACCCCTTATCTCTGATTCCAGGGACTCAATGATAAATTGTGAGAAACGTGAGAAATAAATATTTGTAGTAGGAGGGATAGGGCATGTTTTATAGGAAAGGAAGTGTGGTGTTAATAAATTAAATGAAAATTCATTGATGCAAAGTGACGCAAACCCTTAAAATACAGTTTAACTCTTTACTAAACAGTTAAGTCGAGCGCTCATGTGAGACACATTAACTGGTTTTACTGTGTTTAAGCTGTGTGTACTGTAGATTGGGTTAATTTGGCGCCCGCTTTAATTTGGCGAATTTGGCGAAATTGAAAAATTCACCAATATAAATCTTCGTCAAAATTTAGAATGAATCCCCGGGAATTATCTAGGGTATTTCGTCTAGTGTATTTAGGTCACTTCCAGTTCAGTTTTTTCCAAAAATATGAAAAAATGTCTCTCATAAATTGGCTCAGAACTGGTCAGTCACTCATTAATACTCAGGGAAAAACTAGAAAGGAAAAGCGCGTTATAGTAGCAGCATTGATCAAGGTGCAAAATGTAAATGATCTCACAAAAATGTACAAACAACGTTTGACGTGGTGAATATCGCCAGTGGTCCTCAAAAGAAAAAATGAACATAGCCAAACATGCCCATTTACATGGTAATTCGTAAACAGCCTGTAAGTTTAACATTGCATTGACATTTTTTTTGCATATCCGCCAAAATAAATAGCCGCCAATATGCCAAAAATGGCAAAATCGCCGAATTAAGTAGCGCCAAATTAACCCAATCTACAGTAAGTGTACAGCTAAATTTAAAGGGACAATGTGATGGAGAGGGAAAATTTTAGAATCTTTATCCCTCATATTACTATTTTATGCTTATTTTCTAATACACATAGGTTTTTAGCCTTGCTCAAGTCGGTCTCTTTTACTTATCTTGATTTCTATTATGGTAATAATTCAAGATCAGATAAGTAGAAAATACCGACTTATCAAGGCTAATTGGTTTGAAACATCTGGAAAAAAGTAATTGTGATTTTCTAATCAATGAGACATTGAACCTCTGTTTATTTGTCTGCAATATCTTCCTGTATATGTCTACGAGGATATATGTACCTGTATATATGTACACACTTATCTATCTAACCAGGCACTGATACCAACAGTGGCATATTGTATTGTCATATTGTGTTTACTTTAAGTCACTCAAAGAGGAATTGGCCACACTGCTGTAAAATGAAGTATCCATTTATTGGATTGTTTTTAAGGTATGAACTATTTAAATACATTTCCTTCATCATACAGTAAAATCTGTGTAAATGGAACACGTTCGATACCTGGAAATAGTGTTCACTTTGGAGATGTTCCACATTTGCAGACAGTAAAACCTGTTTATATTGAACATTTTTGCTGAGAACATTCAGAGTGTTCACTACAGAGAGGGTAATTTATATAGAATCCAGTAGCATATGTGCAGATGAAGTGTGTCAACTGGGGGACAGATGTTCACTAGGTGTTCACTAAGACAGCTTTTACTGTACACTCACTATATGGAGTAACAGGAGTTGGAAAAATGTTCCATTTAAAGGTTTAGTGTATTGTCTCATATAAACTTGTAGGAAACATGGCATATTGGAAAATGGGTTCATTCATACTAGAGCTACTTTTAGAGTCTTCTGTCAGACTTTGAAAATAAAGAAAGGCCACCACTTTTTGAGCCCAAAGTCAGAAATAATTGCTTGGATTTGAAATAAGGCTTTACGTTTACCTATTTGATGTTACAACAAATTTTATTGAAAGAATTCGAAATAGTCACAATCTGTATTGCGGAAAAATTACTTTTTAAGAATTATTTCTTTGTTATGTTTATCACAATAAGATTGAAAAATAGCTGTCAATTCAACTGTAACTAGTTGGATTATCACTGCCTTTAAGGACTGGAGTATGGCTATCAGTTATTATTACTATACTACAGTGTACTCTGTGGTACTCGGGCAACTATCACTTTTCTTTACTACTATTTGCTCTTAAAATTACTTTTATTGCCTGACATCTCATCTCTTATTTTCTACTCATAGATGCTTTATGTATGCTCTAGTATACCAATATAAAGCCTATGCCAGTAGTAAAATGAATTTCGTTAAGAGCTTTTTTCGTAATGAACCTTTTTTGAATCTCGTGAACCAATTTTTCTCTTTGTGCATCCCAGGTTGAGGGTCACTTTTGCTTTTGAGAAATGGTCACAATTAAGATTTTTACGGAAAGCATTTGCCAATTATTAGTAATTGCAAGAGTTCTACCAAAATGTTTTATTCTTCCTTCAGTGTAATACAGTGGCAGCATGTAGTTGCCCAAGGCCCCATGGTCCAGGGGGCCATTAGTGTTGCTGTCGGCCCCAAGGTAATGTGGGGCTATGCCCAGGAGGCAGGTAGAGCTATGGAATGGACATTCAGAAACTTAAGAGGCCCAGACTATAACTACACAGGCCCAGAGATTGACCTACAGGGCCCTGGTTTTAATGTAACTGTGAGTATTGAGTTTATGTCACCACTAAGAAGCATAATTGCAACTACGTGGTGATAGACATTTTGTCAGTTTGTTATGCATGTGCATGTGCACTTGTGCATGTGAGGTAACACATCTTTCTGGCTGGCTGTACAACCTGAAGTGATTAGTTTAAGGTGTTGAAAGCTTTAAAGTTTAATGAAAAGGCATTTTCATTGAGTCATCATTGCTCTTGCATCAAGTTAAAAAATATGGGCTTTAAATTTGGTTTATCTTTTTTCTTTTATTTACCAAATAAGCCAGTCATTTCTGAATGGCTTTAATATGCATTATCCTTGGTGTCCTCTATTCATACAAGAAACAACAATGAAGATTCAATGCAGGATATAAGTGATGCAAATTTAAATAATTTTGTTCATGGATTTCTACCAGCCTGTTGTTATTTCAATTTGTGTGATTCAGAGTATAATACATTCATTTTTACAATATGTCCTTTATTCTATCTATATACAGGGCCGTCAGATGTGGGGGTACGATGGGTGCGACCGCACCCCCCTTTGTTACCCCCAAATTTTTTTTTGAAAAATATTTTTTTTTGTAATTTTTTTTCATTGACTCATACACTTTGAAAGTACCCAGAGAGCACCAAATAGCATCTTAAAATTGTAAAATTTTCTAGGGGTATTGGCCACCCCTCACACCCCCCCCCCCCCACAAAATAATGGAAAAGTTCTAAATTTATTTTAGTGTTTTGTCTCAGACACTTTTAAAGTGCCCAGACATCATCAAATAGCTCCTTGATATAGTTTCTGGGGGACTTGCTCCCCTCTTGCATCTTGCACTTGCATACCCCCCCCCCTTGACCCTTGAAAATGTGATTTTCTCAAATTCTTTAATTGACTCATACAATTTGAAAATGCCCAGAAAGCACCAAATAGCGTCGTAAAATTGTAAAATTTTCTAGGGGGAGTGGGCCACCCCTCACACACCAAACATAACAATGGAAAAGTTCTGGATTTGTTTTATGTATTGTCTCAGACACTTTTAAATTGCCCAGACATCATCAAATAGCTCCTTGATAAAGTTAATGATTCTGGAAGACTAACACTTACTCGCCCTCTGCCATCCCCACTCCACCTCCCCCTCTGGCAGCCCCCCCCCCTTAACACCCCCCCCCCCAAAAAAAAAAAGAAATTGAGATTTTTCAAATTTTTTTATTGACTCATACATTTTGAAAGTGCCCAGAAAGCACCAAATACAGCATCTTAAAATTGTAAAATTTTCTTGGGAAATATGCGCTTTTAGGCACAGACACTTAAAGTGCCCAAACTTCATCGAATGGCACCTAGATATTGTAAATTTTGATATGGGGGACAAACACTTGGTCCCCTCTGGCACCCCAACCCCACCTCCCCCTCTGGCACCCCAGCCCCCCCCCCCCTTTGACACTCCCAAAATTTGAAAAAAATTGTGATTGTTTTTCAATGTTTATTGACTAATACCTTTAAAAGTGCCCAGAAGCACCAAATATCATCTTTAAATTGTAAAAGTTTCTAGGAGAGTTAGCCACCCCTCACATCCCCCACAAAACAAAATAAATATTCTGAATTTCATGTATTGTCTCAGACATTTTTTAAGTAGCACCTTGATATGGTCAATGTTTCTGGGGGACAACCCCTTGCTGCCCTACTGGCACCCCACCCCACTTCACCCTCTCATCCTCTTTGACACCCCCAAAAGAATTTGAAAAAAATTCACATTTTTCTTATTGACTCATATTGACCAGATGGTTGCAAATTCGCTCCAAATACAAGCAAATTTCAAAATTTTCCTGGGGGAGAACCCCCAGACCCCCCTGAATGCTTGGTTTTTTATTCACTCAACTCTTATTCGTGTGGTGCTGGCGTACTACTTAGGAACTTACACTTTGAAAGTGCCCAGAAAGCACCAAATAGCATTTCGAAACTGTAAAATTTTCTAGGGGGAGTGGACCACTCCTCACACCCCCACAAAACAATTGGAACGTTTGGAAGTTGCATTTGTTAATTCCAAACCAATATAGGGAGTAACTGACCCCCCCCCCCCCTCTGTCTTACGCGATTTGATTTACGCGGCAAAAAAATTGACAATTTTATATTCTCTTTAGTAAGCTAAAAACCGCACCCCCCTTGGAGAAAAGTGTCTTACGGGCCTGATATACATCTGATAAAACACTGATTACAATGTTTATATCTTTCCCATTGTTAAATCATCCCTTGAACTAAGACTTACAACTTTCCTGTTAAGTTCATCTTTTGTGTGCAACTGAAAATATTTCATTTGCAATATTGATTAATGAAATTCTCTTGAAAAACAAGCTATGATAAAAACAGAAAAAAATCATTGTGACATATACATGCAATGCAAAATATGTTTTTTTCCCTGGATTATTTCTAGGTATTAAGATGCATGTTTTTTATGTAATCTGATAGTAAACGGAAAACTTGACTTTTAATCTTGAGACATGTTGACTTGTCAAGTGAGCCTCTAATGAGATGAGATTTGAGGTGAACGCTCTAGCTTCAGTAATTATTAAATTTCTGTATTATTGATCTAAGCTCATCTGATTAAGGATCTAAGCTCATCTGATTAAGGATCTAAGCTCATCTGATTAAGGAGGACCTTCAACTGTCAGACAGTGTGATGGTTATCTTGTACTTATTCTTTATACATTACATATAGGGCATCAATCTGTTGCCACTGTCGTTTGAAATTAACAATCAGCACATGTGATATCATCTCCACAAGTTTTATGACCCTTGGGTTTGCTTTTGGCACAATCGTAAGATACAATTCTTAGAAAACCATTGTTTACTTTAATAGGAAAAGAAATGAGATGAGATGGTTATGATGAATTTAATGCCTTCCTCATAAGTACATTATGTGACATTTATTTCATATTCAAACTCTCATTAAAGACAAAAGAGCTGTCTTGCTCACTAATTAGCCCCAAACCATTTTTATTTGTCTTGTTCAGAGCATATTTAGTCCTAAGCTGTACACCAGGGTATCGACCATTGTGAAAATTCCTGCATATAAAGATTCTCCTTTTTACATATCAAACTATATTCTCTAATTTTGTTTTCCCAGTTGAAGAATGTAAGCATCAGCAAGGGAAACCTGGTAGGCATCAAGTCAAAACTCCTTGGAATGGTCCAAAAGAACTTTGACTTTCACCTCAAGATCATGTACAACCTGAGCCATGTATATAACCACTGGGAGGAAGCAGGGATTGTTTCTGGTCATGAGGGACCCATACCTTTTGACCACAAACTGTCAGGATATAAGGTCAGCTCATATACAATAATGATATACATAGTACAATATATATTTTTCGTAGATTTAATATCAGAAGTTGAAATTAAATTGAGTAACATTTAAATATAATTGAGTCATTAACATTTGTTTCAAGGTAACAGTACATGAACATGACAAATAAAATGTTCAAATTGAATAATTAAATGAGAAAGATAGTTAAAGCAACTATTGCTGATAATTTAAACACCACCAGTCCTTTCTAGTGACGATACTCTCCATCCCATGTAATATAATAGCCTAAAAGGAGTATGACATTAATTCATATTTCTTGTGTAGATGAGTGTCAGTCTGGAGGTTGATGCAAATGTCAGATGTGTAGAGATTGAAGATGGACCGATCTGTGTGATATGGCAGCCACGTCCTAAATACAAGATCCACAATCTCGATTTCAAACTACCACCTGAATCATATCTCCACCTCGCTCCTCGTGAGAAAGTCCAGGGTAAAATAGAGGACTGGCTGCTAATGAATTACACCAAAAAATTGCATTTTATGCGATCCTTGAGCATCAACTTTACATCCACGTTGGATACGATTGGATTCAGCGGGGGCATCACAGAAGATATTGTGTTTGATTTTGGTGGGACTGTCACATCTTTGAATTTCACTGGAATGCAGGGTTGTCAGTAAGTGGCTCAGGGTTTTGTCTCCTGTGAATAAATTGTACTACAATATATCACTTAAACATCTAAGTTTGTCATTATCTCACCACCACTAGTGGTGACATATTGTTATAGTCTCCAACTTTTTTGTGGACAGTGATCAGTGGACAGCATTTAGTGGTTGGTGTCTGTAAAAAATGGCAGGTGGTGATATTTTGCATGTTACAATTATCTACAATTAATCTAAAACACTCTCTCTCTCTACTGGCCAGTATTATTCCTTGTGGACAGGTGTGTATTGCAGAGAGGGCTCATTAACATGTCTTGAACAGGACTTGAAAGGTCCCATGTAGTTTCCTTACAACAGAGGGTGTTCTCTCAGACAGGTTTTACAGTATTTAATTTAATGTATACAAAGGTAGTGATCATTCCTAGATCCTATTTGCCTTTTTCCTTCTCTGCGTCAATTTCAGTAATCATCTAAATCATTTCTTCAATCAAATAAATTAAGAAAACAAGTCAAATTATTACGATTATTAAAGTCAGTTCCTAAGGAAACCATTGCAGTTTTTTCACATTGCACTTTTGGCCAAATACATGTACATGAATCATATACACATTTATCTTAATTTGGTTGAACAATGATTGATATGAAAAAGGTTAATTGAAGTACCATCTCTTGATTGCTTCTTGTTTGTTTGAAATTGATTGATTAATGATTTGTTTGATTAATCACTTGATGAGTTCACTTGTTTGTTTTAGGATGCGTACAATGGGGGTTGCGTCACTGAGGAACAGGATGGATATGCCAGAGTGGGTCCTCAAGGTTCCATCAGCCCCTCTGCCTGATATAGCATAGTACGTAGACATTTGCAATTATAGTCAAGTAAAATGTGATTCTTTAAAAGGCCCCTAAAGGCTGATTGTCTGTCTAGTAGAATTTTCAGAACATTTTGACATGTTGTTTTGACATACCATTTTTTCTGACTTGCATGTGCCAGTTAATTGGTGTCTGCAGCCTGTAACAAACTGTTACACTGTTGTAACCATATGTAGGGGGTCACATTTTGTCATGTTAATGTGTTGTTTTTATGCTTACACTGTAATATACGTGTAATCGCAAAAATGAATAAAGACGCTTTAGAATGACGAGGGGTATGCACTGTTTCAAATACACCTAAATAGCCTTTGCTAAAGTGCAGATCTGTTTTTAAGTTAATTTTACATTGTGTACATACTTGGTTTAATACGGTCTGAACTAAACACTTCAGTTTATTGCAAAGAATTATAATTGAAGTAAATGTTAAATTCCTAAAAGGTCCTACGTGACCATTAGTTGCAGTTCGCCAGTTACACCCTTTCTCTGAGAAACTTAGTCACATTATTTTTAAACAAATTCACAATTTTAAATAGTCCTTCAAATCAACCTTTTGAAATCAAATTGAAAAGTTTCACATATCACATTTGTATGACATTTGGTATGACTATAAGACAAAGTGATTTAAACTTTATATGGGGCGTTTAAGGAAGGATCGGAGTGACTTTTACACATCAGCCCTGGGCATATAGAGGATTTAATCATACATGACTACCTGACTACTGAATTCTACTGAAAATCCTTAATGTTTAGGTATATTATTTCTTGTCTTGTATTAGCCAATCGAGCCTTGACCTTGGCAAAGAGATTCCAGAAAACCATTTATTTTGTCATTCTTGTTTTGTTCATGGCATCAAATTGAAACTTATAATTATATATGTCAAGTGGAATATATCATTATTCAAAAACATCAATTTTTCATCTTGTTTTTTGTTATTCCAATAATCTGATTAAATAGTGACATTTTAAGGATTACTTAACCCAATGACATATTACCAACCAGCTACCCATAAATGAAACAATCATGTTTATTTTTACATGAGATGAACTTAAGACATATATTGAATCTGATTTAAAGAATTGAGCAACCTTGTAATGAAGATTATAAGTAACTAGAGATAATTGGATATTTTATTCAAAATTGGGCAGAATGATTTAAAATAGGTGTAACTTGAGAGATATTGTGACAGAGCATGTTTACATTGTCGGTTGTTTTTAGGTAGTTTATAGCCTGAGGTAGATTAGCTTTACTTATAATGATGCCAGCTGATGTTCAGAGATAAGATTACATTTGTTCGTTTTTTATCAAACTAATTGATTTAATCAGAGACTTTCCATAGGAACTACCTGATTTTCTATACCATTAATATACAATGAATTAAAAGCCTGTGATTCAGATTCCTGATACTGCAGATTACTTTTTACGGCTAATTACACTCTCTAATCTGTTTTGTTTTGTATCATTATTTTCACTGTATTATGTTTGCCTTTATCCTATTTGTAGCACCTGATCAATGCAGTTAATGATCAGGTGTACATTTCAAGGATGTAGCATTAAATACTTTTCCAACAAAGTCAGTTCATTACTCACGTTCTACTCGTTGACATGTGTAGGTGTTCTTTAATGTACATTGAGCAATCACGATGTATAGATTTATCAAAAACATCCAAATGGCAGCCAGAAAACAAGATGGCCATCCAAAAGTTAATCATGTGTAGAACTTGGTATTTTTCAAGGATATAGAGTTTTAAAAATACATTTCCAATAAATTCAGTATATTGAACTTTACATGTTTACATGTGTCTGTGTAATTTTAATTGGCATATATTTATAGAAAATATTACAATCCCACCACCAGGAATAAATAGAAAGGCTGTCCATCCTATCTGTCTGTTTATGACCTGTGCTCAAGAAGAAATTTCCAATATGGTCACTCGCCCAATTCAAAATGTTTTATGTTTTTGGATTATTGTGATGGTAATTTGAAACTTGGGGGACAAGGAGGCCATTGATACACTGTTTATTTGTGAAAGAGATCATTGGTTGGGATGTAAGCATTTCCTGGTTACTGGTTGTACTTTTCAAATTCAGTGTATTTCTTAAAGATTTTATTTTTCCCCTTTTGGCCACTATACTTGCATATATAGAACCATATCAAGACCAAAGTGTGTTAAAAATCAAATTGTCTTCTATGTATTTACACATGTGCATTGTGTTTTTTTTACATCACATTTTCATTTACTTATAGCAAGCATGATGCCGTGTACGTTGTATCAACTGATGCATTCCAAAGTTTGTTCTGGGCCCATATCTTAAATGGATCAATGGATATTCAGTTTGTTGGGCAGAGTCCTGTCTTTTCCACTAACTACTTCAAAGGCACTCCTCTTCAGGTGAGTCTCTTATAATACTCAAAGGGGGGCATTAGGACCAGGAATCAAAACCTTGTTATATAGCCCTAAAGAGCCCTCCATTGTAACAAATGGCAGGTAGTGACATTTATATTTTAATGCCTTGTTTTGTTCTGTTATATAGCCCTTCACTTATATAATTTATGACATATGTTGCATTGGCCATGTCTCAATCAGGGTTATCTGGGAAAAGACATTTGCTGTTTTATCTCTGACCCCTGTTGCAATCTTTGACACATCGCATCTTTTATACCTTACTGTGGTGAGTCGTGACGTGCATTATTCAAACACAGATTTAATTATTGTATTAAAACAAGGACACACTCAGGCCAGTGATAATTCACTTGTGATCTTCGGACTGTGTTATTCAATAGCAGATTGCGACTGTAATTGCAAATATCTCTTTGATTACCGCTCACTGATTAAAGGAAGGAAAGAAGCAATCAAGAGATCTGAAGTAGCTGAGAGTCACCTTTGCTCATCCTGATGTTCATCACATCTTTATGTTTCAATAGAAACAGGATCTCATGGCTGAGAAGAAATGAGATGTCATGGTTTAATCATGATGCCTTTGCACTTTGAACTTCAGTTTCTTCAATTCTACTTCGAGTTTATTGTTGTCACCACAAGTGGTGACATATTGTTATGTCACCATTACAAGTTGTTACAAGTTGTTACAGTCTCAAAGTTTTTTTGTGGAAGCTGTTCGTCATTTGGCAGTCAGCTTCTGGGATTTGGTGTCTTTAACAAATAACAGGTGGTGATATTTTGCATGTTAATGCCTTGTGTATTATTTACTTACCTCTCAGTAATTATTCTAAAATATGAGCCTATGATATTTAAAGGAGCCCAGTGCCTAGTTTTGATACAAACACACACAGACTGTGAATAAACTCAGATCAATTCATGATAACCTTTAACTTATGCCATCAGTAGACATTGTTACAATTCTCCTGATCCTTCTCTGGATTTACGGATGTCCTGTATTTCTTAGCTCAGTGAGATGCCAATTGAAGGCTTTTTGAATTTTTGACATTTGACGTAGATTTTGATGAGGAGAGAGGCACAATGCAAATTAAACAAAGTACAAGACTGGGAAGTCGTTGCTATTACCCTGGGAGATATAGAATTCTATTCTTTAAGATGATTGACTATGTGAGATGAATTCTTGACATAATATGATAAAAATGATGTATTTGATCTCCATTGAGTTAAAATATCCATCTGGTCATGTTAAGTCCGTACATTTCTCTTCAAGGGGTTTTCATATCATTTTTATTTTATTTTTATTCTCTTTCTTTTAAAGAGTTACTTCAACATTTCTTTTAAACCTTTATTCTGTTTCTCTTAAAGATTCATTCAATTTCTCTAAAAGGTTTATCTCATACCATTTTCTAAAAAGGTAATTCCATTTCTCTTAAAGGGATATTTCATACCACTTTCTAAAAGGGTTATTCAACAATTTTTCTACGATGGTTATTAAATTTTCTCTTGAAGGGTTACTCAATACACTTTCTTAAAGTTACATTTTTTCTGAAAGGGTTATTCCACCATTTCTTTTAAATAAATGTTCCAACATTTTTATTCTCTTAAGGGTTATTCCAAAGGTTCATGTCTATGCTATTTTTCTTAAAGGGTTATTCCACAATCTCTCTTAAATGGTTTTCATATTTCGCGAATTTTCCAAATCTTGCCTAAACCGCGAAAATTACCGGGAGTACAGTATAAAAAGATTATGGTAGAGTTAATGTCTTTTCTCCTCACTGCCAATGTTAAATTAGCAAAATGTCAGCCTAAAGTTGGGTTCTTTATAGTATCCATTTTAAAGGGGCAACAAGGACTGTAGAGAGAAAATTCGAAATTTTTTAATTTTTCTGAGCTATCAGGTCAATATTTGGCTGAATGTCTTCTTTGACAGACCTGTTTTCTTAAAATGTCTGGATAAACTATCAATATCAGCATTAAGAAGTGTAAATTCAGTTCAAAGCTTCTATAAAGGGAGTCCCACTTATAGATTTTTAAGATTAATTTTGACACTGGTCGAATTGTTGAATGGCCCCCCTGCACTAATTGTTGCACCTTTAATTACTCCAAAGTCAGACAATTTTACTGAAATCAATGGACTGTTTAATTTGATATAATACATCAAAGAACCCATTTCTGTGCATCTATAGCTGTTTATGGTCATTTCTTTTCATCACTGCACTGATTGCCTTGCAAATCAAGCCTATCTCCTCTATTTTACACATTAGTAAGATAACTTCCAAAATTAATTAGATTTTCTTTGTGTGACGTCAAGCACCCAATATAGGGTGATAAGATGACTGAATAACTGTGAGTACATAACGATAAAGTTATGCAAGTATGATGCATGGTATAATGACTACATGATGTTCAACCAGCTAAATATTAATTTTCAATATTTTGATATGAAGTCAACCTTGACATAAATCTTACCATTGGGAATTGCCCCTCCCAATGTGGAAATATCAAGGTACCAATATTGAAACTGTCTCTGAATTCATATGGTAAAGCATTAACATGCAAAATGTCACCACCTGCCATTTGTTACAGATCTCAAACTGCCAAACACCAACCACCCATCACTGCCACAAATGGTGACATCATGTCACAATTTATGGTGGTGACATCATAAAATACTTCCTCTCGAGGATCACTCAACCACTATAAGATAAACATATGTTTCATCTATTTGGATAAATAAAATAACTGGACATCAATAAGATGTGTTCAAGGGTGAACATCTGAACACAAAGTTAGAGGAATAGAATAACAACTCATAAAGATGAGAATATAAGTCAAGTTTAAAATGTGTTAAGTAACAAGAGAATACAATTTCGTTGTCTTTCTATTGTTTTTCTGAGGCCATTAGCCCACCCTAGGGATTAAACACGGAAACAAACTCTTTTAATTGATTGATATTTTTGACTCAAGTTTTGGCATGTGGGACAATTCTAGCCATTAAAGAGCATAATTAATCACCATTGTAACGATTTGCTTCATGTTTAATCAGATAATGTAAATACAAAACATAAGTTTGATGTCAAGGTGAATTATAGGGGGAGATTATAGGCTAAGGCTTTAGAATTTTGATTGCTGACTTGTATTGTGGTATCATGTACAGTGCAACCTTTATTAATAATTGAATGGTTTATCTTGGAATTTCTTGGTGGCTATTATGCATGCTCAGTATGCTAAAAGAATTAGTAAGCCCTTATATTAGTGATACACTTCATTTCCTCAAAAATATTTTCTCTAACAATAGAGTTTATTTAAGAAAAATCAAATATCCTGTATCTTGAAGACCTCCTCCTAATGAATTGAAAATTGCCTTTTAAGGAAATTATGATATTTTCTAACAAACTCATTGGTGCAATTCATCACAAATTACTGTATGATATTTAGGACATGAAGGAATCCGATATCAAATTTGTGCAAGAAAATAGTCAACAAATCAAGAGTCAATCTCCTAAAAGGTTCTACATACAGTGAAACCTGTGAAGTGGAACACTTCTAGAAATGGAATACCTCTGTAAGTGGAACACTTCAGAGTCCCAAGACTTAATGCTGAATGAACATCTATAAGTGGAACACTTTTCAGAGGTACCAAAGGTGTTCCACTTAAGACAGGTTTTACTTTATATTCACTTTTGCACATGCTTCCTCACAAGAACCCTGGCTAAATAGTGGGATAAACACAAGATTATCAAGATGTTAATTATAACTGTTGATATATTAGTTTATTTTTGATCACAGAGATTTTATTTCAGTAAATGTTAAAGAATTGTTATATTACATTGAATTTGCAGTTAATTGGAGCACTAGTTTCATTGCCTGAAATCAAATTACAAGTAAATACAGGCTAATCCTCCATTTATCTTTTAAAATTGACATTTTAAATCAAGATTAAATAGTCAACAACATGGAACATATTGATGTTTTTCTACTTTTCTGCTGTCTAATTATCCCAACGAACGAAGTTCGGTAGGGATATAGTGAAGCCGTCCGTCCGTCCGTCCGTCCGTCCGTCTGTCCGTCCGTCAGTCCGTCAGTCCGTCCGTCCGTCCGTCCGTCTGTCCGTCCGGAAGATAGTTCAAATATTAGTTGACAGATTTCATAAATTTTTCATTCTAAACCAAAGTAATTAATATTATTGTTTGAAATTTTGGTAGTATATTCGCAACATCTATTTATTTCACATATATTCCGTGTTTTTCATCCTGACCCCCAGGGGCCGTGTATGGGGGGTCAGGAAAACAGAAATTTTCGCTAATTTTTAGATCTTTCTGAAGTATAGCTTTATTATACTCAAATCAAAGGCAATTAAGAGTAGATTGCAAATATTGTATCTTTTTTCTGATTCGAGCCTCGTAAAATTCAAAATGGCCGTCTAATGTACGATTTCACAATAATTTTTCGATCCCTTCAAAGTATGGCTATATAATACTCAAATTGAAGGAATTTTTGAGTAGATCACAATTATGGTAATATTTTTCAGATTTCTACCTCAGAAAATTCAAAATGGATTTTTTCAAGATGGCCGCCGCTTTAAAAATGGCGGGACTTTTTCGCAAAAATCATAAATTTTTCATTCTAAACCAAAGTAATTAATATTATTATTTGAAATGTTGGTAGTATATACGCAACATCTATCTATTCCACATATATTCAGTGTTTTTCATCCTGACCGCCAGGGGCCGTGTATGGGGGGTCAGGAAAACAGAAATTTTCGCTAATTTTTAGATCTTTCTGAAGTATAGCTTTATTATACTCAAATCAAAGGCAATTAAAAGTAGATTGCAAATATTGTATCTTTTTTCTGATTCGAGCCTCGTAAAATTCAAAATGGCCGTCTAATGTACGATTTCGCAATAATTTTACGATCCCTTCAAAGTATGGCTATATAATACTCAAATTGAAGGAATTTTGGAGTAGATCACAATTATGGTATTATTTTTCAGATTTGTACCTCAGAAAATTCAAAATGGCTGCTTTGCAGGAATTCACAATTCTAAAATCTAAATTTTTCAATTTTAACCAAAGTAATGAGTATAATTGAATAGAATTCGGTAATTGATATTTTGTTCGTTGGGATTTGCTACTCCGCGGAGTTGCCATCATCTAGTTGAAAACTAGAAAAATAGATATAGAATCGTTATTTTGTTTGCATCGTTATTTGTTTAATTCTCTATTACTCATGTGATCAATTTGCGATTATCAGTTGACTTACAGAGCATTTGGGACTCATTAGATATCATACCGAGCCCTTGATACGATCTTTTAATTACAGAGAATTTCCCCATTGCAAATGTTTTGTAGTCTTGCTTCAAAACCCTGGAATCAAGAACCCCCTTATATACGTTTTTGTTGTTGTTGAAGTAGATAAGCTCAGAGGGGGGGGGGTGTCCAGGGTCTTGAACTTAGGTTTTGTGTTACAACATGTGTTTAGTTGGCTTCTAGATGTTGAATCATAGAATCAAACAGGGGGGGAGGGGCACAGGGCAGTGGAAACCAGATAAACATAAAAACAATTTATCATATTAGATTTAATTGTTTACTTCATGCATAGAGTGCAGACAATAAATCTCTTTTACTGTTTATGTATTGTTTATGAATATAAAAGATAAGAATTCATTTTAAACTCTCAACTAACCTTTATTTATTAATGTTTATGTGATGTGAAAGTTGGACATTTTGTATAAAAATGTGTCACAATTCGAAGATAACTCTGCTATGTGAAATATTTGATTAAAGAATAATAGTGTGGAATTGTGGTCAAAACCTGACAGCTAGTTTAACACAGGATAAGCTATTTAAACTATTTATTACTTGTGAAATAAAGCTGAAAGCATCGAGTTTAATTATGCGCACAAGCTAATAGGGCACATATTAAGGCTTGCATTTAATTCAATGATTAAATGAGTGCATTATTTCACATATTACAGATAGTTACTTGTATTGTGTTAAATCCTTTTAATTTGGAGAAATATGGAGAAATATAATTTAACTGGTAAACTTTTTTCGAGGTGGAATCGCTGGCCTGGGTTTTATAGCAAAACAAAATGATAAACACGCCATCAGTATTTCAAATAACACATGGCTAAACTGGGTTTTGATTGGTTACAATGTGATAAAGCATATCTAGTAATGTGTTTTCAATACAAAGGATAATTTTTGTTGAACACTTTTATGTTGAAGGAACCTGCACAGGAATGGGAAGTCTGTGTAGCTTTAAACTTATCATCAAATCATACAAAAGCCTTGCTTGTACAAATCAATTTCTGAAATGGCTTTAAAGATAGCAAGACCCTTTAAGAAATCAATTTCTGAAATAACTGCAAGACCCTTTAAGAATTGGTAGGAATTGAGGACATCCGTTTAATTGTAAAAACAACTTATTCGACTTAATAGTACATTAAAAGTACTTTTCAATCCATATCCAGTGAAATAATGTTTTTCTTCCTCTCTGAATTGATTGTAATGGAAGAGACTTTGTGGATTAAGGGGAAATAATGTTTTTCCTTTTTCTAATATATTACCAATAATTGATCGTAAGTGGGCCTAAGGCTTTTCTATGATGCGACAATTTACATTTGTAAGTAGAGACCTAATGATTTGTTCCTACATCCAATGTAATGTAATGGCTACATCAGTGATTGATAACGATTCAATCAAGACTCAATCCTTTCAACCAATCAGATTGCTTATTTACTGTTCATTATTCAATAAAAATTGAACACTTACTGGTTTGGATTTGGTGAACTAAATTCGTTTTGTTTCTCTTAAACCAGAAAAAATCTGAAAAGTCAGTGCAATGATCATCTTTTGAATGGTAACAATTTGATTTGAAAATATTTCGATAATTGTTTTAAGAGGAAAAAAAATTAAATTTCTACCCTGCCTACCTTACTCATTCTACCCTGCCTACCTTACTCATTCTACCCTGCCTACCTTACTCATTCTACCCTGCCTACCTTACTCATTCTATCCCACCTACCTTACTCATTCTACCCTGCCTACCTTACTCATTCTACCTTGCCTACCTTACTCATTCTACCCTGCCTACCTTACTCATTCTACCCTGCCTACCTTACTCATTCTACCCTACCTACCTTACTCATTCTACCCTGCCTACCTTACTCATTCTACCCTGCCTACCTTACTCATTCTACCCTGCCTACCTTACTCATTCTACCCTGCCTACCTTACTCATTCTACCCTACCTACCTTACTCATTTTACCCTGCCTACCTTACTAATTCTACCCTGCCTACCTTACTCATTCTACCCTACCTACCTTACTCATTTTACCCTGCCTACCTTACTCATTCTACCCTGCCTACCTTACTCATTTTACCTTACCTACCTTACTCATTCTACCCTGCCTACCTTACTCATTCTATCCCACCTACCTTACTCATTCTACCCTGCCTACCTTACTCATTCTACCTTACCTTACTTATTCGACATAGTCTCCAACTTTTTTTGTGGACAGTGTTAGGCGGTCTGTGTCTGTAACAAATGGCAGGTAGTGACATTTTGCATATGATGCCTTGTTATCATTATTAATTGTAACATAGAGAACCTGGGGTGCATTGTGAAATATATATATTCATAAGTCTATTGTTCTTTAACTTTGAGGTCAGGATTATTTATTTCATACTTAGAAATACACCCCTGGTAAATTAATGACTTGGTCCAAACATGTGCCGCTCTGTAACAGTTAGCTTGTACCTTATTACTGGAGTTTATGATACCCTTAGAAATAAATATCACATTTCAACTTTTCATATTTTGTAAATTAAAACCTATGCTATAAAGCCACTATTTCTTTGTAGCTTTCATTTTATTTTAGTACATTAAATTAAATATACAGTAAAACCTGTGTACAGAGCCTCAACATTGTGTTCACTGTAAGTAGGTGTTCCCTACAGAGAGGCAATTTTATACAGAAGTCAGTGGAGTACATGATGAGAATGGGTGTTCATGAGACACAAGTGCTCGCTAGAGAGAGGTGTTCTCTAAGATATACATTTGCACTATATATAAGAGGGACATCCGTTGTAAGCTTAGCCACATACTTTTAAGGTTTTATATTTGTTATATCAATGATGTATTAGTGGAGCATAACTTTAGGTATGAAAATGGTCACACAAATAAATAGTCTACTTTAAAATGTTCTGTCATCTTGTATTTTTGAAGCATATTGACCAAACAATGGGAAACATGGTAGATAAAACAGACATGCTCCATACAGTGCATTGAACTCTTGGGTCATTTTCAAATCCTAACATGCAATCCTCATATCACCATCTCAAGTGATGACATATTGTTAGGTGATTGGTGTTTAGTATTTGCCAGTTGGTGTTCAGTGTCTGTAACAAATGACAGGTGGTCACATTTTATTTTTTCTGAGACCAGAATTCAGCTGGAAACCTTGTAAATTTTGTATGACATATTGTTATTATTATTATTGTTGCCACCTTTTTTGTGAATGGTGTTTGGTGGTTGGTGTTTGGCATCTGTAACAAATGGCAGGTAGTGACATTTTGCACGTTAATGTCTTTTATAGAAATCTAAAAAACATTTTCAACTGTAAAATAAAGTTTATACCTTTATCTAGTACATGTACATTAGTTCCTTATTATGTCCTTGCCAGATTACATTATAATCAGCACTAATGAATTTTGTGAGCAAAAATGTGAAATATTAATTTTTGTCGACCCCTTATCTCTGATTCCAGGGACTCAATGATAAATTGTGAGAAACGTGAGAAATAAATATTTGGAGTAGGAGGGATAGGGCATGTTTTATAGGAAAGGAAGTGTGGTGTTAATAAATTAAATGAAAATTCATTGATGCAAAGTGACGCAAACCCTTAAAATACAGTTTAACTCTTTACTAAACAGTTAAGCCTGAGCGCTCATGTGAGACACATTAACTGGTTTTACTGTGTTTAAGCTGTGTGTAAGTGTACAGCTAAATTTAAAGGGACAATGTGATGGAGAGGGAAAATTTTAGAATCTTTATCCCTCATATTACTATTTTATGCTTATTTTCTAATACACATAGGTTTTTAGCCTTGCTCAAGTCGGTCTCTTTTACTTATCTTGATTTATTATTATGGTAATAATTCAAGATCAGATAAGTAGAAAATACCGACTTAGGCAAGGCTAATTGGTTTGAAACATCTGGAAAAAAGTAATTGTGATTTTCTAATCAATGAGACATTGAACCTCTGTTTATTTGTCTGCAATATCTTCCTGTATATGTCTACGAGGATATGTGTACCTGTATATATGTACACACTTATCTATCTAACCAGGTACTGATACCAACAGTGGCATATTGTATTGTCATATTGTGTTTACTTTAAGTCACTCAAAGAGAGAATCGGCCACTGCTGTAAAATGAAGTATCCATTTATTGGATTGTTTTTAAGGTATGAACTATTTAAATACATTTCCTTCATCATACAGTAAAATCTGTGTAAATGGAACACGTTTGATACCTGGAAATAGTGTTCACTTTGGAGATGTTCCACATTTGCAGACAGTAAAACCTGTGTAGATTGAACATTTTTGCTGAGAACGTTCAGTGTTGATTGATTGAGTGTTCACTAGAGAGGGTAATTTGTACAGAAGCCAGTAGCATATGTGCAGATGAAGGGTGTCAACTTGGGGACAGATGTTTACTTGAGGGAGGTGTTCACTAAGACAGGGTTTACTGTATATGCACTATATGGAGTAACAGGAGTTGGAAAAATGTTCCATTTAAAAGTTTAGTGTGTTGTTCCATATTTTTTAGGAAACATGGCAGGTTGGAAAATGGGTTCATTCATACTAGAGCTACTTTTAGAGTCTTCTATCAGACTTTGAATATAAAAATTGGCCACCACTTTTTGAGCCCAAAGTCAGAAATTATCGCTTGGATTTGCAAAGCTTTAAGTTTACGTATTTGATGTTACAACAAATGTTATTAAAAGAATTCGGAATCGCCACACTCTGTATTGCAGAAAAATTACTTTTTAAGAATTATTCCTTTGTTATGATTATCACAATGAGATTGAAAAATAGCTGTCAATTCAACTGTAACTAGTTGGATTATCACTGCCTTTAAGGACTGGAGTATGGCTATCAGTTGTTATTACTATACTACAGTGTACACTATGGTACACAGGCAACTATCACTTTTCTTTACTTGCTCTTTGAATTACTTTTATTGCCTGACATCTCAACTCTTATTTTCTACTTATAGTATACCAATATAAAGCCTATGCCAGTAGTAAATTTCATTTAGAGCTTTTTTCTTAATGAACCTTTTTTGAATCCCGAGAACCAATTTTTCTCTTTGTGCATCCCAGGTTGAGGGTCACTTTTGCTTTTGAGAAATGGTCCCAATTAACATTTAAGAGCATTTGCCAATTAATTAGTAATTGCAAGAGTTCTACGAAAATGTTTTATTCTTTCTTCAGTGTAATACAGTGGCAACATGTAGTTGCCCAAGGCCCCATGGTCCAGGGGGCCATTAGTGTGGCTGTCGGCCCCAAGGTAATGTGGGGATATGCCCAGGAGGCAGGTAGAGCTATGGAATGGACATTCAGAAACTTAGGAGGCCCAGACTATAACTACACAGGCCCAGAGATTGACCTACAGGGCCCTGGTTTTAATGTAACTGTGAGTATTGGGTTTATGTCACCACTAAGAAGTATAATTGCAACTACGTGGTGATAGACATTTTGTCAGTTTGTTATGCATGTGCATGTGCACTTGTGCATGTGAGGTCACACATCTTTCTGGCTGGCTGTACAACCTGAAGTGATTAGTTTTTAAGGTGTTGAAATGTTTAATGAAAAGGCATTTTCATTGAGTCATCATTGCTCTTGCATCAAGTTAAAAAATATGGGCTTTAAATTTGGTTTATCTTTTTTCTTTTATTTGCCAAATAAGCCAGTCATTTCTGAATGGCTTTAATATGCATTTTCCTTGGTGTCCTCTATTCATACAAGAAACAACAATGAAGATTCAATGCAGGATATACGATTAAGTGATGCAAATTTAAATAATTTTGTTCATGGATTTCTACCAGCCTGTTGTTATTTCAATTTGTGTGATTCAGAGTATAATACATTCATTTTTACAATATGTCCTTTATTCTATCTATATACAGGACTATAACATCTGATAAAACACTGATTACAATGTTTATATCTTTCCCATTGTTAAATCATCCCTTGAACTAAGACTTACAACTTTCCTGTTAAGTTCATCTTTTGTGTGCAACTGAAAATATTTCATTTGCAATATTGATTAATGAAATTCTCTTGAAAAACAAGCTATGATAAAAACAGAAAAAAATCATTGTGACATATACATGCAATGCAAAATATGTTTTTTTCCCTGGATTATTTCTAGGTATTAAGATGCATGTTTTTTTATGTAATCTGATAGTAAACGGAAAACTTGACTTTTAATCTTGAGACATGTTGACTTGTCAAGTGAGCCTCTAATGAGATGAGATTTGAGGTGAACGCTCTAGCTTCAGTTATTATTAAATTTCTGTATTATTGATCTAAGCTCATCTAATTAAGGATCTTAGCTCATCTGATTAAGGAGGACCTTCAACTGTCAGACAGCGTGATGGTTATCTTGTACTTATTCTTTATACATTACATATAGGGCATCAATCTGTTGCCACTGTCGTTTGAAATTAACAATCAGCACATGTGATATCATCCCCAAAAGTTTTATAACCCATGGGTTTGTTTTCGGCACAATCATAAGATACAATTCTAAGAAAACCATTGTTTACTTTAAAATGAGCAATTACTTGCGGCCAAATTGTACGTTGTGACAATTCCAAAAACCGACCCCTATGTAAAATGGGATATAAGTTGAGGGTAAATATCTCAAAAAGTCTCGAACTTAGGATCACCTTGATCACTAAACTTAATACAAAATACCATGTGATAAGAAATGAGATGAGATGAGACGGTAAGGTTATGATGAATTTAATCCCTTCTTCATAAGTATGTGACATTTATTTCATATTCAAACTCCCACTAAAGGACAGAGAGCTTTCTTGCTTACGAATTAGCCCCAAACTGTTTTATTTGTCCTGATCAGAGCATATTTAGTCCTAAGCTGTACCCCAGGGTATCAACCATTGTGAAAATTCCCGCATTGAAGGATTCTCCTTTTTACACATCAAACTATATTCTCTAATTTTGTTTTCCCAGTTGAAGAATGTGAGCATCGGTAAGGGAAACCTTGTAGGCATCAAGTCCAAACTCCTTGGAATGGTCCAAAAGAACTTTGACTTTCACCTCAAGATCATGTACAACCTCAGCCTTGTCTATAACCACTGGGAGGAAGCAGGGATTGTTACTGGCCATGAGGGACCCATACCTTTTGACCACAAACTGTCAGGATATAAGGTTAGCCCGTATGAAATTATAATACATTGTGGATTAAATCGTGCAATATTTATTTTTCCGTCCATATATTGTAAAAAGTTGAAATTAGATTGAGGAACACTTAGATGCATGTCAAGGTACAGTACATGTACATGACAAATAAAAAGATCAGATTGAATAAATGATATCATCCCTGTATGGAAAGATGGAGATAGGTTAACTGATAATTTTAACCACATTTCCACAGTCTCTACTTTACTCTTCATCCCATGTAATAGGCGAAAAGGAATATTGACATTAATTCATATTTCTTTGTGTAGATGAGTGTCAGTCTGGAGGTTGATGCCAATGTCAGATGTGTAGAGATAGAAGATGGACCAATCTGTGTGATATGGCAGCCACGTCCTAAATACAAGATCCATAACCTCGATTTCAAACTACCACCTGAATCATATCTCCACCTCGCTCCTCGTGAGAAAGTCCAGGGTAAAATAGAAGACTGGCTGCTGATGAATTACACCAAAAGATTGCATTTCATGCGATCCTTGAGCATCAACTTTACATCCACGTTGGATACGATTGGATTCAGCGGGGGCATCACAGAAGATATTGTGTTTGATTTTGGTGGGACTGTCACATCTTTGAATTTCACTGGAATGCAGGGTTGTCAGTAAGTGGCTCTGGGTTTTGTCTCCTGTGAATGCATTTTACTACAATATATCACTTAAACATCCCAGTTTGTCATTATGTCACCACCACTAGTGGTGACATATCGTTATAGTCTCCAACTTTTTTGGACAGTGATCAGTGGATGGCATTTAGTGGTCAGTGTCTGAAAACAATGGCACGTGGTGACATTTGTTTTGCAAAATGTTTTTTTAACGAAATTCCATTTTTGGGGAGGGAGTGGTTGATTTAAATTCTAATTAATTGTTGCATATTGGGAAAACACTCTCTCTCTACTGGCCAGTATTATTCCTTGTGGACAGGTGTGTATTCCTTTTAGTTTCCTACAGAGGGTGTTCTCTCAGACAGGTTTTACAGTATTTAATTAAATGTATACAAAGGTAGTGATCATTCCTAGATCCTATTTACCTTTTTCCTTCACTGCGTCAATTTCAGCAATCATCTTAATCATTTCACCAATCAAATAAATTAAAAAAACAAGTCAAATTATTATGATGATTAAAGTCCATTCTGATACTCAGACCATCTCTGCTATGCACAAGAATGATTCTAGAAGGACACTGAGAGAAGGCTGTGCTATCTCACGATGATTAAAGTCAGTTCCTAAGGAAACCATTGCAGTTTTTTCACATTGCACTTTTGGCCAAATACATGTACATGGATCATATACACATTTATCTTAATTTGGTTGAACAATGATTAATATGAAAAAGGTTAATTGAAGTACCATCTCTTGATTACTTCTTGTTTGTTTGAAATTAATTGATTGATGATTTTTTTGATTGATTGCTTGATGATTCCACTTGTTTGTTTTAGGATGCGTACAATGGGGGTTGCGTCACTAAGGAACAGGATGGATATGCCAGAGTGGGTCCTCAAGGTTCCATCAGCCCCTCTGCCCGATATAGCATAGTACGTAGACATTCGCAATTATAGTCAAGTAAATTGTGATTCTTTAAAAGGCCCCTACAGGCTGATTGTCTGTCTAGTAGAATTTTCAGAACATTTTGACATGTTGTTTTGACATACCATTTTTTCTGACTTGCATGTGCCAGTTGACGTCTGCAGTCTGTAACAAACTGTTACACTGTTGTAACCATATGTAGGGGGTCACATTTTGTCATGTTAATGTCTTGTTTTTATGCTTACACTGTAATATATGGTAAATACAAAAATGAATAAAAATGATTTAGGATGACGAGGGGTATGCACTGTTTCAAATACACTTAAATAGCCTTTCCAGTGCAAAGTGCAGATCTGTTTTAGTTAATTTTACATTGTGTACATAGTTGGTTTTAATAGGTCTGAACTAAACACTTCAGTTTATTGCAAAGAATTATAATTGAAGTAAATGTTAAATTCCTAAAAGGTCCTACGTGACCATGAGTTGCAGTTCGCCAGTTACACCCTTTCTCTGAGAAACTTAGTCACATTGTTTTTGAAACAAATTCACTATTTTAAATAGTCCTTCAAAATCAACCTTTTGAAATCAAAGTGTAAAGTTTCACATATCACATTTTTATGACATTTGGTAAGACAACGTGATTTAAACTTTATGTGGGGCCTTTAAGGAAGGATTGGAGTGACTTTTACACATCAGCCCTGGGCATACAGAGGATTTAATCATAAATGACTACCTGACTACTGAATTCTACTGAAAATCCTTAGTGTTTAGGTATATTACTTCTTGCCTTGTATAAAAAGCCAATCGAGCCTTGACCTTGGCAAAGAGATTCCAGAAAACCATTTATTTTGTCATTCTTGTTTTGTTCATGGCATCAAAATGAAACTTATAATTATACATGTCAAGTGGATATATCATTATTCAAAAACATCAATTTTTCATCTTGTTTTTTGTTATTCCAATAATCTGATTAAATAATGACATTATAAGAATTACTTAACCCAATGACATATTACCAACCTGCTACCCATAAATGAAACAATCATGTTTATTTTTACATGAGATGAAATTAAGACATATTGAATCTGATTTAAAGAATTGAGCAACCTTGTAATGCAGATTATAAGTAATGAGAGATAATTGGATATTTTATTCAAAAATTCGGCAGAATCGTTTGAAATAGGTGTAATTATGTCACCACCAAAAGTGGTGACATATTGTTATGGTCTCCGTTTTTTTTATGTCACCACCAAAAGTGGTGACATATTGTTATGGTCTCCGTTTTTTTTTATGTCACCACCAAAAGTGGTGACATATTGTTATGGTCTCCGTCTCCGGCGGTTGGAGGTTGGCGGTTGGCGTCCGGCGGTTGGCGTCCGGCGTCTGTAACAATTTCTTACAACTTCCTATAACTTAACAAATACTGTTTAGACTGACTTCAATTTTTTTCTAAATCATCTACATGTTCTCAGAAGTTCAAATCTGACTTTAGATTTGACATTTGACCTTCAATGACCTTCTCAAGGTCAAAAAGGTCTTTTTTCAACTTGCTTCACATTGACTAAATTTTTTTTCAAAATCATCTACATGTTCTCAGAAATTCAAATCTGACTTTAGATTTGACTTTAGATTTGACATTTGATCTTCAAATCTGACTTTAGATTTGACATTTGACCTTCAATGACCTTCTCAAGGTCAAAAAAGGTCAAAAAGGTCTTTTTTCAACTTGCTTCAAATTGACTAAAATTTTTTTTCAAAATCATCTACGTGTTCTCAGAAATTCAAATCTGACTTAAGATTTGACATTTGACCGTACCTACAATGACCTTCTCAAGGTCAAAAAAGGTCAAAAAGGTCTGTTTTCAACTTGCTTCAAATTGACTAAAAAAAATTTTCAAAATCATCTACGTGTTCTCAGGAATTCAAATCTGACTTTAGATTTGACTTAAGATTTGACATTTGACCTTCAATGACCTTCTCAAAGTCAAAAAAGGTCAAAAAGGTCTTTTTTCAACTTGCTTCAAATTGACTAAATTTTTTTTTCAAAATCATCTACATGTTCTCAGAAATTCAAATCTGACTTTAGATTTGACATTTGACCTTCAATGACCTTCTCAATGTCAAAAAAGGTCAAAAAGGTATTTTTTCATCTTGCTTCAAATTGACTAATTTTTTTTTTCAAAATCATCTACATGTTCTCAGAAATTCAAATATGACTTTACATTTGACTTTAGATTTGACATTTGACGTTCAATGACCTTCTCAAGGTCAAAAAAGGTCAAAAAGGTCTTTTTTCAACTTGCTTCAAATTGACTAATTTTTTTTTCAAAATCATCTACATGTTCTCAGAAATTCAAATCTAATTTGACCTTTAATGACCTTCTCAAGGTCAAAAAAGGTCAAAAAGGTCTGTTTTCAACTTGCTTCAAATTGACCAAATTTTTTTTCCAAAATCATCTACATCTTTTCAGAAGTTCAAATTTGACTTTACAAGTTCTCAGAAGTTCAAATCTGACTTTAGATTTGACCTTTGACCTTCAATGACCTTCTCAAGGTCAAAAAGGTCTTTTTTCAACTTGCTTCAAATTGACTAATTTTTTTTTCAAAATCATCTACATGTTCTCAGAAGTTCAAATCTGACTTTAGATTTGACATTTGACCTTCAATGCCATTTTCAAGGTCAAAAAGGTCTTTTTTCAACTTGCTTCAAATTTACTTAATTTTTTTTTCAAAATCATCTACATGTTCTCAGAAGTTCAAATCTGACTTTACAATTGACCTTCAATGACCATCTCAATGTCAAAAAAAGTCAAAGAGGTATTTTTTCAACTTGCTTCAAATTGACGAATTTTTTTTCAAAATCATCTACATGTTCTCAGAAGTTCAAATCAAACCTTCTTAAGGTCAAAAGGTATTTTCCAACTTGCTTTAAATTGACCAAATTGTTTTAGGTGGTGACATTTTGTCATGTTAATGCCTTGTTTGAGAGATATTGTGACAGAGCATGTTTACATTGTCGGTTGTTTTTAGGTAGTTTATTGCCTGAGGTAGATTAGCTTTACTTATAATGATGCCAGCTGATGTTCAGAGATAAGATTACATTTGTTCGTTTTTTATCAAACTAATTGATTTAATCAGAGGCTTTCCATAGGAACTACCTGATTTTCTATACCATTGATATATACAATGAATTAAAAGCCTGTGATTCAGATTCCTGGTACTGCAGATTACTTTTTACGGCTAATTACGCTCTCTAATCTGTTTTGGTTTGTATCATTATTTTCACTGTATTATGTTTGCCTTTATCCTATTCGTAGCACCTGATCAATGCAGTTAATGATCAGGTGTACATTTCAAGGATGTAGCATTAAATACTTTTCTAACAAAGTCAGTTCATTACTCACGTTCTACTCGTTGACATGTGTAGGTGTTTTTGGCTCACACAGTGAGCCTATGGGATCGACCAGGCGTCCGTCCGTCCGTTGGTCCGTCTGTCCGTCCGTCCGTTGGTCCGTCCGTCCGTCCGTCCGTCCGTCCGTTGGTCCGTCCGTCCGTCCGTCCGTTGGTCCGTCCGTCAACATTGGCCGCACAAATTAAAACTGCTATTCGGATTGAGTCATATCCACACTCATTTTATGCATATCCATAATGCCTATTTGACCTATCATCGCCATTTCCCAAGTTCACCCGGTTTCCGAGAAATTGCGGATTTTGACGTCAAAAAGTCAAATTTTCTGTAAATACTAGACACTTTGTTGAAGTAGACCTTTCAAATAACTTTTAGTAGTTGCTGTATATGCAGCTTATGTCCTCTGAAGATTTCAAAGCTCTTGAAATTACAGTTTTTGGATTTTACTCTATAAAATTTGACAAAAAGTAGGACTTAGTCATTTTCAAGAAACTTTCTCATGTATAAAGTCAATGGCAGGTTTTGTGATTGACAAGTTTCTCAAAGTTTGCCTTATACTTGATCATTTCTTGCAATGAATTACATCATTACTAGATTTAAGCATTCCCTACATATTGCTCAATATATGTCAGCATCAAATTTTTACCGTTTTTGAGATATTTGACTTAAAAAAAACAGTAAAAATAAGTTATTTTTCAACTTGCTTCAATTTGACCAAATTTTTTTTGAAAATCATCTACAAGTTGCCAGGAGTTCAAATCCGACATTAATTTTAGGATTTGACCTTTACTTGACCTTCAGTGACCTTCGAAAGGTCAAAAAAGTTGATTTTTCAAATTGATTTTTGGATGTAAATTTTGGTCAGCTTAATCACAAAAGACCTTACTGAGCTCTGAATTAGTAAAATTTTCAAGGTCAAAGGTCATCAAACTAGGTCACACAACTGTGCTATCTAAGTTTCTCAAAGTTCGAGACTACAAATCCAAATCAATATTTTTGTTTGAAAGTCAGTATATACATTCCTCTGAAGGTTCCAAACTGTGTGAGCATAGGACCGTGGGTCCTTCATTATTTAATGTACATTGAGCAATCACGATGTACAGATTTATCAAAAACTTCCAAATGGCAGCCAGAAAACAAGATGGCCACCCAAAAGTTAATCAGGTGTAGAACTTGGTATTTTTCAAGGATATCGAGTTTTAAAAATACATTTCCAATAAATTCAGTATATTGAAGGTACTCACATTCTACATGTTTACATGTGTCTGTGTAATTTTAATTGGCATATATTTATTGAAAATATTACAATCCCACCACCAGGAATAAATAGAAAGGCTGTCCATCCTATCTGTCTGTTTATGACCTGTGCTCAAGAAGAAATTTCCAATATGGTCACTCAATAAACTAGATTTGAGTAGAAATAATCTTTACTTACGTCATTAAATATTCAAAATTCAGTCAAAGTGATGTCATATTTGAAATCTACATGTAAAAGTACATCTATAAATATGGTTTCGAAAATCGTTTATCAACTTTGAAATTTTTTTTTTTTGAAAAAGTGACTTCTAGTTCGGGTTGATTCCCCATAGACCCCATGTTAAAAAATCACAAAAAGTGAAATAATTTTTCTTGTATTAGACAGATAACATTTTCTTTTACTGGAGATATTTTAATTTGCATAACTATTAGATACATAATGGTGATATGAAAATCGAACCACTATACCCGCCATGCTATCTGACCCGAACGAGCCACCTAGTGGTGAAACTGGTAACTACCTACTCACATGTGCGTTATTCAAAATGTTTTATGGTTTTGGATTATTGTGATGGTAATTTGAAACTTAGGGGACAACGAGGCCATTGACACACTGTTTCTTTGTGAAAGAGATCATTGGTTGGGATGTAAGCATTTCCTGGTTACTAGTTGTACTTTTCAAATTCAGTGTATTTCTTAAACATTTTATTTTTCCCCTTTTGGCCATTATACTTGCATATATAGAACCATATTAAGACCAAAGAGTGTTTAAGATCTAATTGTCTTCCATGTATTTACACATGTACATTGTGTGTTTTTTACATCACATTTTCATTTACTTATAGCAAGCATGATGCCGTGTACGTTGTATCAACTGATGCATTCCAAAGTTTGTTCTGGGCCCATATCTTAAATGGATCAATGGATATTCAGTTTGTTGGCCAGAGTCCTGTCTTTTCCACTAACTACTTCAAAGGTACTCCTCTTCAGGTGAGTCTCTTATAATACTCAAAGGGGGGCATTAGGACCAGGAATCAGGATACTTGTTATATAGCCCTAAAGAGCCCTCCATTGGGACAAATGGTAGGTGGTGACATTTTATATGTTAATGCCTTGTTTTGTTCTGTTATATAGCCCCTCACTTATATAATTATTGAAATATGACATATGTTGCATTGGCCATGTCTCAATCAGGGTTATCTGGGAAAAGACATTTGCTGTTTTATCTCTGACCCCTGTTGCAATCTTTGACACATCGCATCTTTTATACCTTACTGTGATGACGTGCATTATTCAAACACAGATTTAATTATTGTATTAAAACAAGGACACACTCAGGCCAGTGATAATTCACTTGTGATCTTCGGACTGTGTTATTCAATAGCAGATTGCGACTGTAATTGCAAATATCTCTTTGATTACCGCTCACTGATTAAAGGAAGGAAAGAAGCAATCAAGAGATCTGAAGTAGCTGAGAGTCACCTTTGCTCATCCTGATGTTCATCACATCTTTATGTTTCAATAGAAACGGGATCTCATGGCTGAGAAGAAATGAGATGTCATGGTTTTATCATGATGCCTTTGCACTTTGAACTTCAGTTTCTTCAATTCTACTTTGAGTTTATTGTTGTCACCACAAGTAGTGACATATTGTTATGTCACCATTACAAGCTGTTTTTTTGTGGAAGCTGTTCGTCATTTGGCAGTCAGCTTCTGGGATTTGGTGTCTTTAACAAATGACAGGTGGTGATATTTTGCATGTTCATGTCTTGTGTATTATTTACTTAAATTACCTCTCAGTAATTATTCTAAAATATGAGCCTATGATATTTAAAGGTGCCCAGTGCCTAGTTCTGATACAAACACACACAGACTGTGAATAAACTCAGATTAATTCATGATAACCTTTAACTTATGCCATCAGTAGACATTGTGACAATTCTCCTGATCCTTTTCTGGATTTAAGGATGTCCTGCATTTCTTAGCTAATGCCTAGGTCACATAGCCGCCGGGCGCCGGCCGATGAGTAGTCATCGGCCGATTTATAAATCGACCGGGCGCCGGTGACTTTTCACCGATGTCTTGATCTAATCGTGAGTATGGTCACATTAGTACAGGCATCGTACGGCGCCCGCAATCAATTGAATCTGAAAGACATCGCACGGGTATCGCAAGGCTATCTGCCGATGGCCGTACGGCACCCGCCAGGACATCGGTCGATCTACAGGCCTCTAGATTTATACTAAATTCTTGTATGACCCAGTTTGACTGTTCCACATGGCATGAATGCAAGATTTGAAAACGAAATACTTCGATAGACAGGACTTCCAGGATAATAATGTTTTCATGCAATAAAAATCAGAAAAAGAAGATCCTCTAAATAGGTTCAATATTTTTTTTAAAAATGCTGACATGGGGTCCCTATTCATAATTTTTCAAATTGTTTGATTGATATTTTTACTATCATGGATACTTCAATTAAAAGAAAACATATTGTTTTAATAAAAACACTGTATTTATGCCCAGAAAGTACTCATGGTGAAAGATATGACCGTCTAAAACCACTTGCCATACTGCACGTGGTCTTTTCATCAAAGTGCACCCTGACCTTAATTCATTTTTAGATCTTTCATATAAACAAATATTATGTCTACCTGTCCATCCGATGCTATTAGCAAAATTACCTATTTCTGCATCTTTCTTTTGTCTATTCTCGTATTTGTTTGGTCATAAAAATATGGCCTATCATAAAAAAAATTGGCAATTTTTTCTTTTATTTCAAATGGAAAACCCTCTTCCCTAGACACATCTAAATCTTCATCATCCACCAGTTAACTAGCATTGTTATTGTCTTTTTCCACCTATCTTCCCAAGGCCTTCCTCATATATGGTCCATTGGCCTTATCCCCTCTATCCTTAGCCTTTGGCATATTAACTGTAATTGAGACAGTAAACTTTCGTATTAAAATTGTGACCCTTGAAAATACTGTACTCACAAAAACATTAAGAAGATTTTTAAAATAAATGATTTGTAATGGTATATGCATGAGTGAATATACGCATAAAAATGTATCACTCTATTCAATGTGTATGACAGACATACACGATTAATGTCAATATAAGAACGACTAGATCAACCTACCCACCCACCCAGCCATTCAAATGTGTGTCATTGTTTTACAGTAAGCATAATCGTTCCATTTATGTTTTATAAAAAATCTCTGACAGTGTGTAGTAATTATAATTCCTTACCTCATTATTTCTAAAACCGTTATATCACTTTATAAGTAATCATTATTAAGATTTATCAACAAATCAGCACGTAAAATCCCAAGATGACCGTGCGATGCCACCGGGCGCCGTAAGATAATCGTACGATGACCGGACGGGACACGGCCGGGTAGGTACCGATGAGTTTGGTTGAGAAAAAATCGCCAAGACATCGGCAACTTTTATCTCCGCGATAAAACTCTGCCGGCGCCCGTACGATGTCTAAAAATCGGCCGATGAGTGGCGATCATCGCCCGGCGCCCGTACGATGCCCGGGCTCGCCGGCCGATTTTGAACAAAATACTCATCGGCCGGGCGCCGTAGTGAAAATCGGAGCCTATGTGACCAAGGCATAAGTGAGATGCCAATTGAAGGCTTTGAATTTTTGACATTTGACATAGTTTTTCATAAGGAATGATCTCCAGGCACAATGCAAATTAAACAAAGTACAAGACTGGGAAGTCGTTGCTATAACCCTGGGAGATATAGAATTCTATTCTTTAAGATGATTGACTATGTGAGATGAATTCTTGACATAATATGATAAAAATGATGTATTTGATCTCAATTGAGTTAAAATGTCCATCTGGTCATGTTAAGTCCGTACATTTCTCTTCAAGGGGTTTTCATATCATTTTTCTTTTCGCTTTATTCTTTTTCGTTTGAAGAGTTACTTCAACATTTCTTTTAAACCTTTATTCTGTTTCTCTTAATATAAAGATTTATTCAATTTCTCTAAAAGGTTTATCTCATACCATTTTCTAAAAAGGTAATTCCAGGGATATTTCATACCACTTTCAAAAAGGGTTATTCAACAATTTTCCTTAGATGGTTATTAAATTTTCTCTTGAAGGGTTACTCAATTCACTTTCTTAAGGTTTCGTTTTTCTGAAAGGGTTATTCCACCATTTCTTTTAAATAAATACATTTTTATTCTCTTAAGGGTTATTCCAAAGGTTCATGTCTATGCTATTTTTCTTAAAGGGTTATTCCACAATCTCTCTTAAATGGTTTTCATATTTCGCGAATTTTCCAAATCTTGCCTAAACCGCGAAAATTACCGGGAGTACAGTATAAAAAGATTATGGTAGAGTTAATGTCTTTTCTCCTCACTGCCAATGTTAAATTAGCAAAATGTCAGCCTAAAGTTGGTTTCTTAATAGTATCCATTTTAAAGGGGCAACAAGGACTGTAGAGAGAAAATTCGAAATTTTTTAATTTTTCTGAGCTATCAGGTCAATATTTGGCTGAACGTCTTCTTTGACAGACCTGTTTTCTTAAAATGTCTGGATAAACTATCAATATCAGCATTAAGAAGTGTAAATTCAGTTCAAAGCTTCTATAAAGGGAGTCCCACTTATAGATTTTTAAGATTAATTTTGACACTGGTCGAATTGTTGAATGGCCCCCCTGCACTAATTACTGAAGTCAATGGACTGTTTAATTTGATATAATACATCAAAGAACCCATTTCTGTGCATCTATATCTGTTTATGGTCATTTCTTTTCATCACTGCACTGATTGCCTTGCAAATCAAGCCTATCTCCTCTATTTTACACATTAGTAAGATAACTTCCAAAATTAATTAGATTTTCTTTGTGTGACGTCAAGCACCCAATATAGGGTGATAAGATGACTGAATAACTGTGAGTACATAACGATAAAGTTATGCAAGTATGATGCATGGTATAATGACTACACGATGTTCAACCAGCTAAATATTAATTTTCAATATTTTGATATGAAGTCAACTTTGACATAAATCTTACCATTGGGAATTGCCCCTCCCAATGTAAAAATATCAAGGTACCAATATTGTCCCCTTTATTTGAAACTGTCTCTGAATTCATATGGTAAGGCACCACCTGCCATTTGTAACAGATGCCAAACTCAAACTGCCAAATACCAACTGGCAAACACCAACCACCCATCACTGCCACAAATGGTGACATCATGTCACAATTTATGGTGGTGACATCATAAAACATATGTTTCATCAATTTGGATTAATAAAATAACTGGACATCAATAAGATGTGTTCAAGGGTGGACATCTGAACACAAAGTTAGAGGAATAGGATAACAACTCATTAAGATGAGAAAATATTAGTCAAGTTTAAAATGTGTTAAATAACAAGACAATACAAGTTCATTGTCTTTCTATTGTTTTTCTAAAGCCATTAGCCCGCCCTAGGGATTAAACACGGAAACAAACTCTTTTAATTGATTGATATTTTTGACTCAAGTTTTGGCATGTGATATAAGTCCTTTCTTCCTGTGGGACAATTCTAGGCATTAAAGAGCATAATTAATCACCATAGTAACGATTTGCTTCATGTTTAATCAGATAATGTAAATACAAAACATAAGTTTGATGTCAAGGTGAATTATAGGGGGAGATTATAGGCTAAGGCTTTAGAATTTTGATTGCTGACTTGTATTGTGTTATCGTGTACAGTGCAACCTTTATTAATAATTGAATGGTTTAATTTGGAATTTCTTGGTGACTATTATGCATGCTCAGTATGTTGAAAGAATTAGTAAGCCTCATATTAGTGATACACTTCATTTCTTCAAAAACATTTTCTCTACCAATAGAGTTTATTTAAGAAAAATCAAATATCTTATATCATGAAGACCTCCTCCTAATGAATTGAAAATTCCCTTTTAAAGAAATTATGATATTTTCTAACAAACTCATTTGTGCAATTCATCACAAATTACTGTATGATATTTGGGAAGACATTTAGGAATCAGATATCAAAGGTCCATGTGCAGTATGGCAAGTGTTTTAGGCAGTCGTATCTTTCACCATGAGTACTTTCTGGGCATAAATACAATGGTTTTTATTAGAACAATATATTTCCTTTCAAATGAAGTCCCCATGATAGTAAAATATAAATCCAACTCTCTGAAATATCATGGATTAGGGCCCCACCTTGGCAAAATATTAGGCTTATTTCTAAAAAGAGGATCTTGTTTTTCTCAATTTAAACGTATCGAAAGTTTCTTCTACACTATATTTACAATTTCTGAAAACGGGATGCCTATTGAAATGCGTTAAAGTTAAAAACCACATATCCCATGTTAATTTCTCATAGGAAAACTTGTGCTATCCATTGTTTTCAGCATCATTTTGGTCATTGAAAATTGATATCTTCAAAACTAGACTTTCAATACCATTATATTTTTGAAGATGTTTTAGACCCCTTGTTGAATAATCTTTTCATGCAATAAAAATCAGACAAAAGGGAGATCCTCTTTTGAGTAAATAGGTTCAATATTTTGAAAAAATGTTGACATGGGGTCCCTATTCATATTTTTTTGAATTGTTCGATTGATATTTTTATCATCATGGGTACTTCACATGAAAGAAAACATATTGTTTTAATAAAAACCACTGTATTTATGCCCAGAAAGTACTCATGGTGAAAAATATGACTGTCTAAAATCACTTGCCATACTGCACGTGGTCTTTTGTGCAAGAAAATAGTCAACGAATCAAGAGTCAATCTCTTAAATGGTTCTACATACAGTGAAACCTGTTAATTGGAACACTTCTAGAAATGGAATATCTCTGTAAGTGGAGCACTTCAGAGTCCCAAGACTTAATGCTGAATGAACATCTATAAGTGGAACACTTTTCTGAGGTACCAAAGGTGTTCCACTTAGACAGGTTTTACTTTATATTCACTTTTGCACATGTTTCCTCACAAGAACCCTGGCTAAATAGTGGGATAAACACAAGATTATCAAGATGTTAATTATAACTGTTGATATATTAGTTTATTTTTGATTACAGATTTTTATTTCAGTAAATGTTAAATAATTGTTATATTACATTGAATTTGCAATTAATTGAAGCACTAGTTTCATTGCCTGAAATCAAATTACAAGTAAATACAGGCTAATCCTCCATTTATCTTTTAAAATTGACATTTTAAATCAAGATTAAATAGTCAACAACATGGAACATATTGATGTTTTTCTACTTTTCTGCTGTCTAATTATCCCAACGAACGAAGTTCGGTAGGGATATAGTGAAGCCGTCCGTCCGTCCGTCCGTCCGTCCGTCTGTCCGTCCGTCAGTCCGTCAGTCCGTCCGTCCGTCCGTCCGTCCGTCTGTCCGTCCGGAAGATAGTTCAAATATTAGTTGACAGATTTCATAAATTTTTCATTCTAAACCAAAGTAATTAATATTATTGTTTGAAATTTTGGTAGTATATTCGCAACATCTATTTATTTCACATATATTCCGTGTTTTTCATCCTGACCCCCAGGGGCCGTGTATGGGGGGTCAGGAAAACAGAAATTTTCGCTAATTTTTAGATCTTTCTGAAGTATAGCTTTATTATACTCAAATCAAAGGCAATTAAGAGTAGATTGCAAATATTGTATCTTTTTTCTGATTCGAGCCTCGTAAAATTCAAAATGGCCGTCTAATGTACGATTTCACAATAATTTTTCGATCCCTTCAAAGTATGGCTATATAATACTCAAATTGAAGGAATTTTTGAGTAGATCACAATTATGGTAATATTTTTCAGATTTCTACCTCAGAAAATTCAAAATGGATTTTTTCAAGATGGCCGCCGCTTTAAAAATGGCGGGACTTTTTCGCAAAAATCATAAATTTTTCATTCTAAACCAAAGTAATTAATATTATTATTTGAAATGTTGGTAGTATATACGCAACATCTATCTATTCCACATATATTCAGTGTTTTTCATCCTGACCGCCAGGGGCCGTGTATGGGGGGTCAGGAAAACAGAAATTTTCGCTAATTTTTAGATCTTTCTGAAGTATAGCTTTATTATACTCAAATCAAAGGCAATTAAAAGTAGATTGCAAATATTGTATCTTTTTTCTGATTCGAGCCTCGTAAAATTCAAAATGGCCGTCTAATGTACGATTTCGCAATAATTTTACGATCCCTTCAAAGTATGGCTATATAATACTCAAATTGAAGGAATTTTGGAGTAGATCACAATTATGGTATTATTTTTCAGATTTGTACCTCAGAAAATTCAAAATGGCTGCTTTGCAGGAATTCACAATTCTAAAATCTAAATTTTTCAATTTTAACCAAAGTAATGAGTATAATTGAATAGAATTCGGTAATTGATATTTTGTTCGTTGGGATTTGCTACTCCGCGGAGTTGCCATCATCTAGTTGAAAACTAGAAAAATAGATATAGAATCGTTATTTTGTTTGCATCGTTATTTGTTTAATTCTCTATTACTCATGTGATCAATTTGCGATTATCAGTTGACTTACAGAGCATTTGGGACTCATTAGATATCATACCGAGCCCTTGATACGATCTTTTAATTACAGAGAATTTCCCCATTGCAAATGTTTTGTAGTCTTGCTTCAAAACCCTGGAATCAAGAACCCCCTTATATACGTTTTTGTTGTTGTTGAAGTAGATAAGCTCAGAGGGGGGGGGGGTGTCCAGGGTCTTGAACTTAGGTTTTGTGTTACAACATGTGTTTAGTTGGCTTCTAGATGTTGAATCATAGAATCAAACAGGGGGGGAGGGGCACAGGGCAGTGGAAACCAGATAAACAATTTATCATATTAGATTTAATTGTTTACTTCATGCATAGAGTGCAGACAATAAATCTCTTTTACTGTTTATGTATTGTTTATGAATATAAAAGATAAGAATTCATTTTAAACTCTCAACTAACCTTTATTTATTAATGTTTATGTGATGTGAAAGTTGGACATTTTGTATAAAAATGTGTCACAATTCGAAGATAACTCTGCTATGTGAAATATTTGATTAAAGAATAATAGTGTGGAATTGTGGTCAAAACCTGACAGCTAGTTTAACACAGGATAAGCTATTTAAACTATTTATTACTTGTGAAATAAAGCTGAAAGCATCGAGTTTAATTATGCGCACAAGCTAATAGGGCACATATTAAGGCTTGCATTTAATTCAATGATTAAATGAGTGCATTATTTCACATATTACAGATAGTTACTTGTATTGTGTTAAATCCTTTTAATTTGGAGAAATATGGAGAAATATAATTTAACTGGTAAACTTTTTTCGAGGTGGAATCGCTGGCCTGGGTTTTATAGCAAAACAAAATGATAAACACGCCATCAGTATTTCAAATAACACATGGCTAAACTGGGTTTTGATTGGTTACAATGTGATAAAGCATATCTAGTAATGTGTTTTCAATACAAAGGATAATTTTTGTTGAACACTTTTATGTTGAAGGAACCTGCACAGGAATGGGAAGTCTGTGTAGCTTTAAACTTATCATCAAATCATACAAAAGCCTTGCTTGTACAAATCAATTTCTGAAATGGCTTTAAAGATAGCAAGACCCTTTAAGAAATCAATTTCTGAAATAACTGCAAGACCCTTTAAGAATTGGTAGGAATTGAGGACATCCGTTTAATTGTAAAAACAACTTATTCGACTTAATAGTACATTAAAAGTACTTTTCAATCCATATCCAGTGAAATAATGTTTTTCTTCCTCTCTGAATTGATTGTAATGGAAGAGACTTTGTGGATTAAGGGGAAATAATGTTTTTCCTTTTTCTAATATATTACCAATAATTGATCGTAAGTGGGCCTAAGGCTTTTCTATGATGCGACAATTTACATTTGTAAGTAGAGACCTAATGATTTGTTCCTACATCCAATGTAATGTAATGGCTACATCAGTGATTGATAACGATTCAATCAAGACTCAATCCTTTCAACCAATCAGATTGCTTATTTACTGTTCATTATTCAATAAAAATTGAACACTTACTGGTTTGGATTTGGTGAACTAAATTCGTTTTGTTTCTCTTAAACCAGAAAAAATCTGAAAAGTCAGTGCAATGATCATCTTTTGAATGGTAACAATTTGATTTGAAAATATTTCGATAATTGTTTTAAGAGGAAAAAAAATTAAATTTAGTTCTCCAAATCATAACCAGTCTTTTGCAACATGGTTTTAAATCTAGACTCACTGGATAAATATTCAGATGTCATTCCCAGGTTATGCTAAACTCAAGTCAACACAGCATAACATCTAGCTAGTACATGTACATGTATACATGTATATGCAAATTGTTTTTGTCTATTTTCATGTATTGAAGAGATAGCTGAATAGAGTATTGCAATATACATTGTATAAGTTATTAAAAATTGAGATGTTTTTGACTGGAATCATATTTTGCCAAATCCTCTTATCTAGAAAAATCTAATGATCCATATTTAAGTCGTATTAAATTAATCAATCGGGAATTACTAATTGAATGATTTTTCTATTTTCCAGGGGATATATCAGAAACTACCAGACAAACTCCTAATGTACAATGTAAGCATGATGCAGACTCCAACATTTTACTTTTACTCCATGCATGAACAATACCCTATGGCCTACCAGTATAATATCAGCGTTGAAGTTTGGACTCTCAAGCATGACGGTACACCTGACATCTTGGCACTTAAGTACATCATCTTGCAGACCAATCAGATGTTCGGGTTAAATATCCGCACTGAAAATAAGGTCAGTTCAGTACCTTTACTGATCAGCAGTAGTTGATTTTAAGTAATTATATGTCACAAATGGATTCATTTAATTTAGATGGATTGATTTGACGTAATTGTATCCTGCTGTTTTGTCAGTTTTGAACTGTGATTTCAATATTTAGCTGTTAAATACAAAGGGGCAATTATTTCTACATGATTCAATGGGAATTTGTGTTGATTTCATGCAGATACAGGCTTGTTTATGTGGATGCTTGCTCTTGACAAGGGATTTTATGTTCTCTTTGATCACCTACCTAGAATAGTAAATAAGGGAACTTATTTGTTAGCAAGATTTAGTCCGAAAGGGTCACAATTAAGGGCACATGTTGCCAGCCAGATTTAGACATCTAATTGAGACTTAAAGGATACATAGTATGCAGCCAATAGTAGTCTTATAATATTCAAATCGAAGGTATATTTAGATTGCAAATGCTATATTGGACATCATATTGATTCCTCAAAAATGAGAATGATGGTGCATTTCTGGGATTTTTTGAGATTTGGTCCTAATTACAATATTTAATACTCCATGAAATATAAAAAATGATATTTGAAACATCTTTTAGGGTAAATATGATTAGGGTAAATATATTCTCTTACTCTGCTACTCTGTGTAGTTGCTGTTTTCTAATGAAAGCATGGAATATTAAGCGGGGTCAACATAAACACATTTATTCAGGAAAAGCTAGAATATCATGTATTGCCACAAATCTCTTTTCTGCAAATATTTTCGATTAAATAGTTTCCTGAGTCTGAAAGCTTTTAACAGATGAAAGCTTTTTATATGGCATTAATACACAACTCTTAAGATTTATGATTGCTGTAGCCTTGAATTTTAACATTTTTTTATTATTTTATTCAATTTATTGCATTATAAGTTAAAGGTGCAATAATTAGTGCAGAGGGGTCATTCAACGATCACGGACCAGTGTCAAAATATATTTAAGTTTGGATATTTCATCAAGACTAACATCTATTTTTATTATCTACAAAGAAACCCCCTAGATAAACATTATTTCAGCTGGTATTCCTCTTGAAACATGGTGGATCTTAAAAATATAAAAGTGGAAGTCCCCTTTTTGAAGCTTTGAACTGAATTTACACTTTTTCATGCTGAAATTGATAATTTATCCATACGTTTTAAGAAAATAGGTATGTCAAAGAAGATGTTAAACCAAATGTTGCCTTGATAGCTCTGAAAAAATTAATAAACTTTCCTATTTTCTCTACAGTCCTTATTGCCCCTTTAAATATTATGGACAACTCTTCAACTTATGGCGATTCTTATATCCGCATAAGTAAAAGTATAAGAGGGTCTAATAGTAAGAATACGATACATACACCTCATTTAAGCATGATACATGTTTCTCATTTTGGTAAGCAAAATACTATTTTATCAATTTAAGCTTAGTGCGAATCATTCATAAAACAATAGCCCTGCCAAAACCTGATTGTATTCATTGAATTCAGCAACACTATAAGTGAGATAAACTTTTGTAGCTAGGTTTACTCCATGGGTTTTTAACTATGATAGAGTCTCCAGGTTCATTTGAAGTTCAATTCCTTTTATATTATTCCAGACATGCAACAGTAACTGAACTGTCCCCTCAAAAAAGATTGTTCAGGACTGAGTAATAGTCACATAATGCTTTGATCGCAACCGTATCTAATTAATTAATCTGCAAGTCAGACTTAAGTTATAGCTATTGCATTATTGAAATCTGGATCAGGTTCACTCCAAGTTCATTCTATTTAAAACCTTCTGCTAGATCAGTGTCTACAATTAAATTAATTCATTTAAAATATGCAAGAAATTGATTTACAACCATAAACCATGTAGTTCTGAGAAAAATGGATTTAATAGTTTTTTCTTCATCAACTTATTTTTAATCAAAATGAAGAAATATTCACTTGGTTGCTCATTGTCATTTACGCAATCTTAAAAGCCGTTCAGGTGATGCTATGTTAGTTATTTAATTTGGAGGATAGGGCAAATTTAGAAATTTTGGCTGCTATTTAATTTGGCGGATTTACCCATCGGTAAAATGTGGATATAAGAGGATTCATCCATAGATGCACAGGGGTGGATCTGGGAACCAACAAGGGGGGGGGCAAAATTGTGGTCTGGGAAAGAAACTTCCGCGAAAAAATTTTGGGCTCCTAAAACCAAAAAGTGGGCCCAGTTTTTATAATTTTGAGGCCCATTTTCTTCAAAATTTGGCCTTAAATGAAATAAGGCCCATTTATGACCAGAAAGGCCCACTTTTTGGTGCCTTAAGGCCTATTTTGGCCCAAAATTTTTTTTGGACCCAATTTTTTTTCTTGGCCCACCCAAGAGGGGGGGGGGGCAGCCCAATTATTTTCACTGATACAAGGCAATTAAACATTGATCTCCAACACCATTTTTTTAAATGCTGCAGTTTAAGGATTAATTCTGTTAAACTAATTCTTTCAGGTGATCCACCTTGATCCAGACCTCCTCTACCAAGTACGAGCGATTCAGTTCACAAGTTCAAACATGACATCATATGCGACAGTCTCAAACAGTATCGTACCTCTAGGCTACACAGCCCCTCCATTTTGTCTGGATCTTTTCCTCAGCCAATTCTACACAGATTTCAGGTCTTTAGTTGCTCACGTGGAGACTATAGGAGTTCCGTTGCCTGCGACTCCATTATTTACTGTTTCTCAGTCTGAGATGTTAGTATTGCAGTGGAATTATCTGACAGTAAATGTTAATTTTACCACTACAAATGTTTGATGTATGACAGTAAATGTTAATTTTACCACTACAAATGTTTGATGTATGACAGTAAATGCTAATTTTACCACCACAAATATGTGATATCTGACAGTAAATGTTAATTTTACCACTACAAATGCTTGATATATGACAGTGAATGTTAATTTTACCACTACAAATGTTTGATGTATGACAGTAAATGCTAATTTTACCACCACAAATATGTGATATCTGACAGTAAATGTTAATTTTACCACTACAAATGCTTGATATATGACAGTGAATGTTAATTTTACCACTACAAATGTTTGATGTATGACAGTAAATGTTAATTTTACCAGCGCAAATTTGTGATAGCTGACAGTAAATGTTAATTTTACCACTACAAATGCTTGATATATGACAGTGAATGTTAATTTTACCACTACAAATGTTTGATGTATGACAGTAAATGTTAATTTTACCAGCGCAAATTTGTGATAGCTGACAGTAAATGTTAATTTTACCACCCAAAACTTGTGATATATGACAGTGAATGTTAATTTTACCACTACAAATGTTTAATGTATGACAGTAAATGTTAATTTTACAAGCGCAAATGTGTGATAGCTGACAGTAAATGTTAATTTTACCACCCAAAACTTGTGATATATGACAGTGAATGTTAATTTTACCACTACAAATGTTTGATGTATCACAGTAAATGTTAATTTTACCAGCGCAAATGTGTGATAGCTGACAGTAAATGTTAATTTTACCACCCAAAACTTGTGATATATGACAGTGAATGTTATTATCCCATCGAACGAAGTTCGGAGGGATATAGGGAACGCCTCCGTCCGTCCGTCCGTCCGGGCAATAACTCAAATACCGTTGGCCCAATTTTGTTCATATTTTGTACACATATACCCTATGGGGGTAGAAGTTCTGCTCGAAAGCCGATTTTTAAAATGGCCACTCATTTCAAAATGGCGGCCATATTAGTGCCGAATTTACAGTAATTTAGGTGCAATATGTAAAACTATAATAGCAATATGTTTTAGATGTAAATAAGTTATATAGGACATTAATAAAGCTAGAAATGTAGATATTAAAGAAGCAAATGGCAGCCTTTACTCGTTATTTTACGATTTTTGTGGTAACTCGAAAAGTAGTGGAGCGATTTTGTTCATATTTGGTATGTGAATACTATAAACATTGCACACTGTCTAAAGACACTTTTGGTAGAAGGCGGCCATTTTGAAAAATGGCTGCCATTTTGAAAAATGGCCACCATTTTAACGTATTTTACTATAACTCGAAAAGTAGTGGAGCGATTTTTTCATATTTGGTATGTGAATACTATAAGCATGAAACACTGTCCTATGACACTTTTGAAAGAAGGCGGCCATTTTGAAAAAAAATTTGAAAAATGGCCGCCATTTTAACGTATTTTACTATAACTCGAAAAGTAGTGAAGCGATTTTGTTCATATTTGGTATGTGAATACTGTAAGCATGGCACACTGTCTAATGACACTTTTGGTAGAAGGCGGTCATTTTTCAAAATGGCTGCCATTTTAACGTATTTTACTATAACTCGAAAAGTAGTGGAGCGATTTTGTTTATATTTGGTATGTAAATACTATAAGCACGGCACACTGTCTTATGGCACTTTTGGTAGAAGGTGGCCATTTTGAAAAATGGCCGCCATTTTAACGTTTTTTACTATAACTTGAAAAGTAGTAGAGCGATTTTATTCATATTTGGTATATGAATACTATAAGCATGGCACATGGTCTAATGACACTTTTGGTAGAAGGCGGCCATTTTGAAAAATGCATGCCATTTTTGCTATATACTTTGTTTGTAAAAATGCCATCCATGGCTGTTCGATGGGATTCGCTACGCTTTGGCGTTGCCGTTGTTCTGGTTTGAACACCACAAATATGTGACAGTAAATTTACTCTACAATGCCATTCCACTCCATTTCTTCCCTCAGTAATATCCTTCCTCTTTTGTGAAGTCATTTCTCTGCAATGTCCTTCCACTCCATTTCTTCCCTCAGTCATATCCTTCCTCTTTTATGAAGTCATATCTCTGCAATGCCCTTCCACTCCATTTCTTCCTTCAGTCATATCCTTCCTCTGTGAAGTCATATCTCTGCAATGCCCTTCCACTCCATTTCTTCCCTCAGTCATATCCTTCCTCTGTGAAGTCATATCTCTGCAATGCCTTCCACTCCATTTTTCCAAGTCATATCCTTCTTCTGTGAAGTCATTTCTCTGCAATGCCTTTCCACTCCATTTCTTCCCTCAGTCATATCCTTCCTCTGTGAAGTCATATCTCTGCAATGCCTTCCACTCCATTTTTCCCCAAGTCATATCCTTCTTCTGTGAAGTCATTTCTCTGCAATGCCCTTCCACTCCATTTCTTCCCTCAGTCATATCCTTTCTCTGTGAAGTCATTTCTCTGCAATGCCCTTCCACTCCATTTTTTCCCTCAGTCATATCCTTCCTCTGTTGTGAAGTCATTTCTCTGCAATGCCATTCCACTCCATTTCTTCCCTCAGTCATATCCTTCCTATGTGAAATCCTATCTCTGCAATGCCCTTCCTCTCCAGTTCTTCCCTCAGTCATATCCTTCCTCTGTGAAGTCATATCTCTGCAATGCCCTTCCACTCCATTTTTTCCCTCAGTCATATCGTTCCTCTGTAAAGTCATTTCTCTGCAATGCCCTTTGACTCCATTTCTTCCCTCAGTCATATCCTTCCTCTGTTGTGAAGTCATTTCTCTGCAATGCCTTTCCACTCCATTTTTTCCCTCAGTCATATCCTTCCTCTGTTGTGAAGTCATTTCTCTGCAATGCCATTCCACTCCATTTCTTCCCTCAGTCATATCCTTCCTATGTGAAGTCATATCTCTGCAATGCCCTTCCAGTCCATTTCTTCCCTCAGTCATATCCTTCCTCTGTGAAGTCATATCTCTGCAATGCCCTTCGACTCAATTTCTTCCCTCAGTCATATCCTTCCTCTGTAAAGACATTTCTCTGTTATGCCATTCCTTTGTTGTCACTGAATGTTTAACACAGAAACTGACCACTCTTACTTATCAACAAAAACAAGAGTTTTATATTCAGACCATCAGGTTGTTGATGTTGCCCAACACCTGTTACCCACTAATGAATTGTCTTTGAATACAGATAGTGCCGTCGGTTTACAAAAACATCAAGAAGATGACAACACAGAAATCAATCACTTGACATTAAATGCAGCTAATTATCTGTTTTGGATCATGTTATGAGAAGAAAATGTTTTCTGGGAATTATTTGTAATCAAAAGCACCGAGGGAATGGCCATTATATCCTCAGGGATCAGCAGTAAGTCTTGTAGTTGAATTTTATTATCTCGTTTGATGGAAGAGAAATTAATCACTCCCCCCAGTTTTCTGCAAGTTAAAATGCTCAATTCTGCAAGTGAAATTAGTGAATTCTGCAAGAAGAAAGGGCTAATTCTGCAGAAATTCCGCGGATATTCGCGGCATTTTTTTATATAATATAAATAACTGTTATTAATTTATGTCTTTGTTTAACTTTCTGACGAGAACCGAAAGAAAAACTAATGGTTTTCGAACCAGTAAACGGGAAAATATCGTGATAGTCAGGTAGTCAGTCACTACATACATGCTGCCATCTAACGGCAGAAATCAAACGATGGCGTTTAGAATTTTCACTTCGCATAATTTGGGTTATTTCTGCAAGGGATTTGACTGAAAACGTGTCAAATTGTTACAGGTAAGACTGACTTTTTAAACTTTTGGAAAATATATGGATTCTGCGGAAAATTCCGCGGAAATTGACCAAAATAGTTGATTCTGCAATTCCGCGGGCAGAGGCAAATTCCGTCCGCGCTCTGCAAACACGGAATCCTGGGGGCAGTGATTAATATACCCTCGGCATATTGTTTAAGAAAAAAAATCACGATAAGAAAACATTAAATCTAATATTGTTTACCCCTAAATACAGAATGTTTTTATCATAAGAATGTATAAAGAATGTCAGTTTGTGGTTACAAATAGGGTAGTAGCACTTGACTTAAAAACACAACGAAGTAGCTCTTGACTTAAACACACAAGCGTTAGTATCACTTGACTTAAACACACAAACAAAGTAGCACTTGACTTAAACACACAAGGAAGGTAGCATTTAACTTAAACACACAGAGTAGCACTTGACTTAAACACACGAACGAACTAGCTCTTGACTTAAACACACAAGCAAAGTAGCACTTGACTTAAACACACAAGCAAAAAGTAGCACTTCACTTAAACAAACTTGCAAAGTAACACTTGACTTAAACATAAAACCAAAGTAGCACTTCACTTAAACACACAAGCAAAGTAGTACTTGACTAAAACGCACAAATAAAGTAGCACTTGACTTAAGCATACAAGCAAAGTAGCACTTGACTTAAACACATAAACAAAGTAGTACTTGACTTAAAAATACAAGCAAAGTAGCACTTGAGGTAAACACACAAACAAAGTAACACTTGACTTAAACACACAAGGAAGGTAGCACTTGACTTAAACACAAACAAAGTAGCTCTTGACTTAAACACACAATCAAAGTAGCTCTTGACTTAAACAGTAAAGCCCACAAGCAAAGTAGTATTTGACTTGAACACATTAGCAAAGTAGCACTTGACTTAAACACACTAGCAGAATAACGCTTGACTTAAACATAAAAACAAAGTAGCACTTGACTTACACTCAAGCAAGTTAACACTTGACTTAAACACACAAACAAAGTAGCACTTGACTTAAACATACAAGCAAAGTAGCACTTGACTTAAACACACTTGCAAAGTAACACTTGACTTAACCACACAAACAAAGTAGCACTTGACTTAAACACACAAGCAAAGTAGCACTTGACTTAAACATAAAAACAAAACACAATTTGACTGACTAAGATGTCAATGTAACCATATTTCTAAATACATTGAAAGGAAATAAGTGAACACAGTGATATGAGGCTTGA